TCAGCAATTTATCTTTAGCTAGCAAGTTAACCGTACCTAGACAACTGTATGCAGTTCTGACCACAACTGAAAAGGAATATAAAACCTGGAAAACATGCAGAGGAGGGAACTAATGATCAGGTTGAACAGATTTCTTATGAGAAAAATTGGAACATTTGGGACTTTTTACATGAGAAAAAGGATGACTAAAGATAGACATGATTGGCATGGAGAAGGTGAGCAAAGAATTTTTTCTCTTTCTCTGAAAATGCTAGGACCAGGCAACATCCAATGGAACTATTGGAAGGAGATTCAAAACAAACAAAAGTATTTTTTTTAATGGCACATAATTAATGTATGAATTTCATTGCCTCAGGACACGATGATGGCCTCTAATTTGGATGCTTTAAAAAGGGGATTAGATTAATTTTTGGAGAACAAGTCTATCAAAAAAAGTGTATCTTAAAGACTCAGTGTTATTTTTGGAATTGGGCAATATGTCTTCAAATGCAAGTTGCAGGAGAAGTATGGTAGAAAAGGAGTTTCTGTGTTTTGGCGAACATTTGAAGGACCATTGTAAGAAACCAAATGATGAACTTCTCATCTATTCTGCAAAGGAATTTTTAAAAAGCAGCATGAAAATACACAGCTGAATCTTGAAATTAATAGATGCATGAAAGGGAATATCTACTTACATTGAATTTAAAATTTGAGGTTTGGAGTAATTGTTTTTTGGAATATAGAAGATACTAGTTAATATATTTGAGAATTCCTGGAGAGCTGATCAAATGCTAGGATGACTGGAGGAAAGCTAATATCCCAGTCTTCAGAAATAGGATGTTGTAATTTGGATGCTTACAGGAGGTTTGGCTCGTGGGCTTAAATGGTCCCTTTGAACTCTATGATTCTACTCTGTGAATTTGATTGTAAAATAAAACATATGGATTTGTGTGTGAAAGCACTATGAATGTGGCCTGAGGGATCAAGCTGTGTATTACATGGGTTAGGGAAATCCATCTGCACATTTGGCAGGTATGGCTAGAATCAGTTCACACATTATACTGCATTATTTTGTTAACAATTGGTTGGGTGCAGATATAGCATTAAACCTGGGAATCTCTCTTGCTGCTTGTCTGAGTAAACCAAAGTAAAATAATAAAAATTAAAAGTTTGTATCCTGCAAAACAAAGCAGAATTTTAACATCATCTTTTTTTGTCCAAGTATGCTTTTGGCTTCACATTTTAGAAGTATTTATCCATTTCTGATTTTGCAGTTTTCTCAACATAATGCCTGCAATTAATAATGAGTAACAGGATTTAAAATAAGAGAGCCTATATAGGAGGTTTTTTTTTGTGTGTGGGGGTCCTCAAATGCTGAGTCCTGGACAAGTCCCTGTAGCTTTTTCGATAAGATTTTGTGTGATGGAATTAACCTATTGCAATACAATATAAAATCAAGAAGTGCAAATCATGGCAGCAGAAAGTTGTCTTTTCCTACTCTCAGCTACCCTAGGTGTCTGTGAGAGAGGCAGAACAACTACCACTCTGTAGTCTGTGGATGTTAAAGGGGTTGAGTCTCAATGCAGGATGCTCAGTGTCTCTGGTGCTGATGAACTGGCTGTTCTTAATGTGGTGTTGTGAAGACTGTTTTCCCAAAATGGACAGGGCCAGGATGAAGAAGCAGTACAGTGAGGGCAAACATTTAATTGGCTCCTGTTATATTAATGAACTACTTTTAATGTGATGGGTTTTAAAATCTGTGATTTAGAAAAAAATCTCAGTTTTATGGGATCACTTATACACTATTATACGTGTAATAGGGGCCTTAGGTTGTATATCCCTGCCATAAAGAAATGTGCATGAGTTAAATTTGGTGCATAAATCTTACTGAGAGAAACAATATCAGAATATCATAAAATATCCAGGCTATATGCCAGTACACTATCTAGGCCAGTGCTTCTCAACGTTTGTGTGATGGCAACCCCCGTCACACAAACGTTCTGCGCATGCGCGACGCCCCCCCTGCGCGGCGCGCATGCGTGGCGCCCCCCCTGCGCGGCGCGCGTGCATGGTGCCACCCCCATGTGCGGCGCGCATGCGCAGCGCCGCAAAAAATGGCAGATCGCCACCTTTGGCGACCCCCGAAAAATGGTCGATCGACCCCAACTGGGGTCGCGACCCATAGGTTGAGAACCGCTGGTCTAGGCATATTTGTCTTACATTTTTGGATATTCACTGCACTGGTTGCCGGTTTGCTTCTGCGTTCAATTCAAGGTCTTTTATGGCACGGGTCCATGCTGCCTTAGGAACTGCTTCCCTCCAATGGGATTGGCTCACCCCTGCTGCTCTGGCAGAAAGTGCATGCTGCGGATCCCATTGGACAATGGGAATTTCGGCTGACTGGGACTAGGAGAAGATCCTTTTCGGCTGTGGCTCCCATCCTTTGGAACCTCCTGCTCCTTGAGATGAGGTCTGCCTTTTTGGCCTTCCGAAAGGGCCTGAAAACTTGGCTCTGCCAATTGGCTTGGGGTTTTGCTTGGAGCATTTCACTCTAGAGGTGGTTCATAGACTAAGATCCCACCTCCACACCATTTATGTATTGCTTCTTTTCTTATCCAGTTTTTTCTTACCTTTTAATGTTTTAATTTTTAAGATTTAACATGTTAATGTTTTTAATGTGCTAATTTATATTGTTGCTTTATGATGTTGCAAGTCATCCAGTTGCTTGACAGTGAGATGGGTGACATATAGATTTAATAAATAGTTTCTAGCTTGGGTAGAAACAGGACAAACATTTTGGTATAAAAGTGGTTTCTGGCAAAATGTGCCCAAACTGACTGTGTAAGCAAATAAACGATTGGATTGACATCAAGATTAACATCAGACCAACAATCAAGAAAAAAACAATATCCCAATCAAGGAATTCCCAAATAAGCTAACAGTAAACAGCCCAACCATAGAATCCCAAAGACCACTCACACACAATAGTATCCCTGGCTCAGAAACAGAGAAAATGGAAGACTGAAAAATTGATGGCTGGATGGCACTGATGAGATCCTAAAAAGGTGAGAAGTTTAAATAACAAATGCATGAATTATTGTTACAGACATTGAGAATAGTTTGTAAGAATAGAAACGTATGCACAGGATAAATGGTGCTGGTAGAAACTAATTTTAGCTATGTTTATCTTTTTTGTTCCTTTCCTTACTCCCTCATGTTCTATTTCTGCACTATGCATCATGTTACTTATCTGAAAGACAAAAATCTTTGTATGTATGAAGCATTCACATGTGCTGTGAAAGAGGATTGCTGAACCAACTAATCTCTTCTTGGTCAGTTAAAATTAGCTATGTTAGACTGGCATTCAGTGTCATAGAATTTGACAGATTATTAGAGTGTTCTGTGAGATGAGCAGCTATATACATTAGACAAACCAACCAACAAATCTCACCAAGAGGAGAATTCCATCCTGTCCCTAAAATTCACAAAAATCCACCATTTAAACTCTAATGCAGAGTTTTTTCTTATTGAACTGCACCTTGCAAATAAGTGAGCTCAGCTATCCAACAGAGACTGTTACATAGGATCACAGAGAAGTGAGATCTGTAAAGAAGTCTCATGAGTCCCCGTGTCAAACTTTTAAAAAAGATTTATTTCCTCATTCTTTCACAATAACAACAACAACAACAACAACAACAATAATAATGTTGGAAGGAACCTCGGAGGTCTTCTAGTCTAACCCCCTGCTCAGGCAGGAAACCCTATACCATTTCAGACACTGCTGTTCAAAACAAAAGAGCATGCAGACCTGGATCTGATAGTGTGCTCCCATAGATAGAACAACATAAGAAAAAACAATACAAAAACAGCGGAGAGAAGTAAAAGTATACAAGTAGTTTTCAATTTACTATTAGTTGCTTAGTGACTGTTCAAAGCTTTGACAGACCTTCCCCCCCCCAAAGCTATGACCATGACCATATTTCAAAGTTCTGACATTCCCCCCCCCCGTGGTCAGATGATCACATTTGGGATGCTTGGCAACTGCCCCTCATTTATGGCCATTTGCAGTGAGCCTGGTCACATGACTGATTTACAATTTTGCTGAGCACTGGTATTTTGATTTCTAGGAAAAACCATCCCATGATGAAAAATGAGTTTGCTTAATAATCATGCTTAATGAATGCCATGAAAAGGGTCATAAAGCTGGGTCTGGTGATGTGGTTATGACTCATGATTTATGACTATAATTGCCAGACTCGATTATGTTTGTAGTCAAGGACTATACTTGCTGAAAAAAGAGATCTGTGGCAAAAATGTTCATCAGTTTTGTAGCTGTAACAGATAACTTTTCCTTCAGGTTTTATCCATCAAGAAACTGAGACATAACCTACATCAGTGTGGGCTACCAGTAAGACTTGTTGCCATTCTTGGACTATGGACTCCAAATATTATGTATCCTCCCCCCCCAAAAAACCAGCCACCTGACACGTGGCTGACCATTTTCAGTGATAAAAGGCAATTTTCTTTCAGGAAAACCTGGTTGCTGTCACTGATCCCATTATTTTAAAGACATCTTTGTTCTAAGTAACCCTAAAATTTCCCACTTTGAAATAAGGAACTGTAACTCCTGGCAAACTCTGGGTATAATGACTGAGTCAATTGGTGTGGAAAATGAGATGTTTGAATGTAATGAAGGTACTCCAACCAAAGTTTTCTCTTTGTTATAAATTGGCCTATTATGATTTACACATTCTATGCACCAGTGCATGTCATTCTTTATGATTAGATTAGTTTTTCACATGCCTGCAGGCAGTAGAAGTAAATACTGCCCTTCTATGTAAGCAAGATTCTACAGGAAGATTCTGAGCCAGCATGGTCTAGTTTGACTAAAATGTGACTGCGTGTGGGAGTACCAGCCAAAGCTGGATTTAATACAGGAGCATATTCAGATTCCAGTTAGGCAGTACTAAATCCCACCCACTACTCCTCCCTTAAAAGGGATTGGATTTCCTTTGCTTATGTTTCTCTAGAAGTAGAGTAGTATACGTGTACTACTGTATATGTTTCAGGAAGAGAGTATGACATTCTTGAAATCTCAGTTTAAATGCAGATTTACCATCTGATTCTGGAAAACCTAATGGGACCACATTTCTTAGTGCCAGAAGCAAATATTTTTATTTTTTTTACTTTTGCTAGTAAGATTTTATCCTTGAAGATTTTATCTGGGTAAAAATAAAGGACACTCTTATACCCTAGAATTATGGCCTGGCTGCTGGTTAGAACTTGCTTCCCCAAAATTGCCTTTGGAAATAAATTTTCTTATCAAAGCAGAGCATGGAGCAGAGGTCCCTTGACTGCATACATGCCAGAAGCCACAGCTTTTCCTGGACCAAGGAATCACCAAGAACTATACCAGCTCTCAGTGGATCAAGCAGATGTATTCTGGGGAGCGCTAGCAAGAAGCCGGCTGATGTGGAGCACTCCTTTTCATTCTGTTAGTGACTGTAACTTTCAGCAGGGCAAGGTGTCCTGGTTCCTTGGAGGACAGCTCAATGTAGCAGGTAAGTAGAAATTCAATTGTTCTTTGTCTCTTTCTACTTGTGAAAGAAAAATATTGCAGCCCAGGATCTTTTGGTACAAGGTCTTTTAAAATCTTGTTTTAAATTTTACCAAAGTCAACATTCCAATAATTTCTCCTTTTTTTTGAATACCATGAGAATTAATGTACTTGATCCTTTTTAAACACACTTTGAACGTAGTTTTAAAAAGTAGCAAAATATCGGAAAGGATGGGAGAGGGTAAGCGTTGCATAAATAGCATAGTATGTAGTGTGGATCTAAAACTCTTCCTATCTACAGTATGAAGGTCTTTGTTTATCAGACTTCTGTAGCTGCTTACTGGAAGGATTACAATGATGCGAATTATCCCTGTTCTTCTATCTTTGGGAAAAGGTCACAAAAAAAGGAACACAAAATACAGAAAAGCAGAATAAGCTGTAATATGTTGGTTATTCTTGCACTGGATTCAGGAAGACATTGATTTAGTTGACTTTGAAATGAATGTTCTCTGCAAAATGTCTTTTAGAAGTACCTTACTGTTTAGAAGCATTTTACTGGTTTTTTAAAAAAACAGCTCAAGTTTTTATACTTTATAAAATGTTTATGTTTGGGCAGATTTAAAATAGCTAAAATGTCTGCAATAGAATAAAATAGTTGATAACAATACAATGAAAAAAAAGTGCAGATCACAGATACAAACTGTGAATGTGAAAAAGTATCATTTATTCAGCATGAGTAAATTGTTTATATAGTTCACGTCATTTCACTTATCTGTTGTATATGCTATGTATGTTTTTCATCTAGCCTATCAGATAGGTTTGGGCAGTGGTGGGACTCAGCTATGTGAACAACTAATTCTCTGTGTGGATGCTGCTTCCGGAAGTCCATTCAGGGCCTGGACAACAAAAAATTAGCTACCAGTTCAGCCGAAGTGGTGCGAACTGGCTCAATCCCACCACTGGGTTTGGGGTAGTTTTAATCTATTTTCTGATGACTGTATCCTGCTCATATCCTGCAGGAATGGAATGACATAGAAATATTAGTAAGTAAACCATGGACATTGAGAAGCTACATTTCAACTGAACTGATATTTCTTAGACAAAACATAGTGAAACTTACATAAGCTACTATGGCCTTTCTCCTATCAACATAGTAATCAGGGTTCCTGTAGATATTCTTAAAATATAGAACACTAGAAAAACAAACCAGAACACACATCTGTGCTAAGTATCACTCTTACATATAAAAGCTTTCTAACCTGCATTAGTTCTTAAAATTAATTAATTAATTAATTAATTCTTAAAATTAAAGAGTGGAAGAGACTGTTTAGCAACCCTGTCCTCCATGCAGGGATCCAAATTAAACCATCCACAAGAGATAGCTATATCAATATGGGACTTGCCATTGTTAATTATCTGGATCCCTTTTTCCCTTCTTTCTGAAGATTAAGAACATTTGCTGCTGACCTCCAGCTATCAGGTACTTGTTCTCCAGGAGTTCCAGCATCCACCTCCCAGCAGTGAGACATCAGCAGTGGATTTGCTACATCCAAAGCAATCAACTATGATTCTACCAATCCTTCTAGCTCTATAATTTTTTAAAAAACTGTGTTTTATCTACCTCACATAACACATTAAACCACAATGTGACTGAGCTTTGGGTCAATGCCTGACTTTACACATTGCAGTAAATTATGATTTGCTTAACTATAGTCTACTGAATAAACACATTAAACATAACATGCGATTGAGACAAGTCAGGTGCTCCCAGAGGATGGAAATTGTACAGAAGAAAGAAAGGCTTATAGTTTTGTCGATAATGCAATGAATGGATAAATAACGGTGCAATTAATGGAGAAACAATAAGTACTGCAATAAAACATACCTTTACTATTATTGTAAAGGTCAAAATAAATTTGACACAGGTAGCTATTTTAACTTGCTTCATTTAGATCAGGGGTCTTCAAACTTGGCCCTTTTAAGACTTGTGGACTTCAACCCCCAGAATTCCTCAGCTAGGCACACTGGCTGAGGAATTCTGGGAGTTGAAGTCCACAAATCATAAAAGGGCCAAGTTTGAAGACCCCTGATTTAGATGGAAAGCCTGTAAGCAAGTGAGATAGGATACAGTACTGTGTGAATTAACAGTTAAGCTGGCTTTTTTCTCCCAGTCTGGCTCCAGTAATGGAAATGAGTCTTCCTGAGAGGAAAAAAAAAGTCCAAAACCCGTGTGAAGCATTGGGATGCAAAATCCAAGTAAACATGGTGGAGAATTTGATGTCCTTCACTCACATGACACCTTGTATGTAAAAAGTAGATTTACAGCAACATTTTCTAAAACTTGTGTTATAGAAACGTACTTTTTTCTGTAATGAATCCAAGTTAAGGATTAGAAGCCCTGAAAAAGTTCATGGCTTAGAGGTAGAAAGTATCTATGTAACAAATTATCTATTTAGAATGTTTCTTAATTCTACCAATAACTACTATGTTCTGAATGGGTTACATGAACAAGATAAAAACACAGTTAATCAAGAAGCTGTTATTTCAAGAAAAAGTAGAATCCATGGTTTAAATTCTGAAATGTATTTATGGGTTATGCAGTTAGTCTACTAACATTTGTTTGAGACTGCAAATGATTAACTTTAGATTCTAGAACTCTAGAGTTGTGAAAATCAATAGTACATTTTATAATTGACATGAGCTACATAGATGACATTGAGCAGGTCAACGTGCACAATTTGACTTTAGATTGTACAATCCATTTATCAACTGTTAATTTTGCACCTGAACTTTGTAAGCAAATAATGACAAGTTTGTTCATATATATTCACACACACATATTTATGTTGAATCAAGCATATATACATATGTGTGTTTATGTGCATGTATATATGCATATATACAATATGAATATAGGTATAGATATATAGATATAGCGAGAGAGGGTTAATTCTTGATTCTTAGCATAGTACAATTGATTGAGGAAACATGGCTTAGCTATCAACATTAATTTTATGATGGGCACAGTAACAGCAGCTGCAGATGGCTGAATGTGTAATAATGAGAGGTGTATTTTCTTTCAGTTAACTGTCTGGATCGACATGTCCACAAAAATCCAAATAAAGTAGCGTTAATCTGGGAGAAAGATGAGCCTGGGCAAGAAGACCAAATTACATACAGGTCCTGACTTATCATTTTCTCTATCCATCTATTTCAGTCTTCTAAGAGGTGTGAATCTTCTTAATGGTTAACACTTGCTTTTTTGATCTCAGTGTAAGGACATCAAGTCCTCGGTTTCTAGAGAATGGAAAAGATTTGAATTGAAATGTCAATATTACTTTATTAAAAGTCAGACCAGTGATTCATAGAACCCAGTATAGTAGAGACAGACCATGCTTGTTTTCTGAAATAGAGACCTTTCTGTTTGTCCTAATTTGAATAGGAGATATACAGTGCTGTAATGAAGACCAAAGTTCGTAACTGGTCATAAAAGCGGTTCTCCGCTGTTATTGTTCTCTGTTACCTTGATTTGGAGATGCCTAATGGAATAATAAAACAGAGTGTATCAAAACTACTTATTTTCTTTGGGCAGAGAATTGCTAGAATTGACATGTCGACTTGGGAACACCTTAAAGAGGCAGGGAGTGAAGAAAGGTGACAGAGTCACTATCTACATGCCTTCCTGTCCAATGGCTGTAGTGGCTATGTTGGCTTGTGCCAGGATTGGAGCAATACACACAGTAGTATTTGCTGGATTCAGTTCTGTTGCATTAGCTGACAGGATCCAGGATGGTAAGAATGCTGTATTTCTTTCTCTGTTTTATTTAGTTTTCTTTTTAGTGACCAGTACGATGTCCAAAAGTATGAATATGCATGACTTGCTTTTAACCACAAACAATATTCTTAACATATTGAGATCCTCATTCCTCCAGTGCTGGCAGAAAGAGAAGCATATATTTTAGCTTAAAAGGACTTCTGCCCTTGGTAAAGCAGTAGAAATTGAAGACCCAAGAATTTTTATTTTGTAATTTGACTTTTAAACAAGGGAAGATGGTCTTTTAAAGCTGATGGTCTTTCTTTCTCCATCTCTTGCTCTCAAATTTTCAGACTCCAACAGATTATCCCCCTCCTCCATATATGCTTTTGAATGGTGGCCAAGTCTACAACATAAATTAAAGATACTCACAATGACATTAATGTAATAGTAGTTGTGTGTTTGTTGTATGTGTATGTAGGGATGGTAAATAGCAATAATTAGATCTGGGTGAAGGCCTGGATTAGGACCATGGAGTGGGAAGAGGAGAGTTCAGATTACTTCCCACTCCAATTGCTGCTATTATTAACCCTTAAGGAAGCAAGCTAGAAGAGTTTCCCAAATAATCCTGAGATTATTTCTAACCTATAATAAATAATGCACTTGTTAAAATATACTCTACAGGGAAGAACTTACTAGATGAATTCTCCCTTAGAATACAAAGCAGGAGAAAGTTGCTTTGAAAACATACATTTTTCATACTAACTTTTTTTTGCATGGGGCGGGGGGGGTGTATTTTTTCAGCTCAGTCTGAAACAGTGATCACAGTCAATCAAGGTTTGAGAGGAGGCAAGGTTGTTGAACTAAAGCAGACAGTAGACCAGGCTGTGAAGTCTTGTCCAACAGTGAAGCGAGTTTTTGTTTCAAAAAGAACAGATGAGAAAGTTCTCATGTCTGATTTAGACATACCGCTAGAGCAGGTGAGTATACTCTTCTTACTCTTTTTACTGACTGAAGAAGAGACCCAAACCACAACACAAATTTGGGTCTCCCAGTTTCCATAGTTTCTGAATTCATGGAGGATGAGTACTATAGTCCTTGTTTTCTCTTCCTTCAGGTCATGCTTGGCCTTAAGATCCTAGTTTCTATTAACCTAGAGTTTCCTTTTAGATGGAAAATGAACTAGAGAGTTGTGTGTTAACATTGTAATATCAGTTAACAAATCAGGTTGCAGTGATATGCCAGGACTGAGAAGGCACTAAGTAAGATGCCTCTGAGACTCATTTCCTTCTCCTTTCTTATCTCTTCTCTTCCCTTACCTCTTTTCCTCTATGCATTTTAACTCTTTTTCTACATTCCCTCTGCATTAGGCACTGGTTCAGTCAACCTTTTTTGCTTCTTAATCTTAAAGTTTTGGTGCCTTTAGAGCAAATGCCCAAGAACTTTATTTCTTTAAGGCGGTGCCTCACAAACTTTTCTTTCATCACCCAAAACTGCTTATGAGAAACTCCTAAATGTTGCTGCTATGACTGGATAGTATCTTCATGTGTTGTTATCCAAAGGAAAAAACTTTTATTCAATTTGGGAGTAATTTATCCCTGTTTGGGAAGTACTGCTCCTGCGCAGGGAAGAGGAAGGCAGAATCGATCTGAACTTGGTTTCCTTCCGTGATTTGAGTCCCTCATCTGACCCAGGGATACTATTGTGTTCTACCTAGTGATAGTAAGCCAGAGTTCTTGGATTTTATTATATAAGGTAACTTTTTTTTCAGAGTTATAGATTTATAAATACTGTATGTACATAAAGGAAGAGTGGGAAAGATGCTGTTACAGTGATTATCCATGGCTTCAAAATGCATCTTCTAAAATTCCTAAAATATATCTAAAGCCATGAAGACCATTTGTTAAGAATTCTGGTAGTTGTTTTAAATAGCAGTACTGTCCTCCCAGTATTGATTGGGATCTCATTACTGGCAAAAGGAGATCCAATTCATTTTTTACAGCAGCTTTCTAATTAAAATCATTGTCCCTTGGGGCAAAACACTCAGGTTTCAAAAATATGGAAGAATAAAAAAATTGGAAAGTACATAATAGAGGCAAGGTAAAGGTGATAATAAACATGTCACCTGCAACTATGTCAATTAACATTAAATGAGATGACAATTCAGGGTAAAATGATGAAATAATGGTTATTGTATAGTCCTGGAAGCTAGGTGCATGTTACCATGAAGGAAAACAACCTTCCTTAGAGACACAAGGAAAGAAGGAAGAAGGGTTTGTATATAAGCAACTCTAGGTATATCAGAAATAGCCCATAAGGGGGTCAAAATTCTTTGCACAGTCTTGAGAAATAGAAGTCTGTTTCATAAAAGTGAGCATTTGGAGATCGTATTCCATGCTAAATTTCATTATTAGTTTGGTCATTGGTACAGAGGGAACTAGAGAAGATCACAGAAGCTGTGAGGAGAGATTACTGAAAGATTATCTGCTTCCTGTGACAGGAAATGATGAAAGAGAATGTAACCTGTCAACCTGCTACCTTGGAGAGCGAAGATTTACTATTCCTCCTTTACACCTCAGGAAGTACTGGAAAACCCAAAGGCCTGACCCATTCCCAGGCAGGCTACTTGCTATATGCTGCCCTCACACATAAGGTACAACATAGGGGTATCTTGCAATTCCGCAAGGATTCTGTGGCATTTTATCTGTTCGCTAACCTGTCAACTATAATTCTTCATGGATAGATTGGATGGTCACACAAGGCACTGAAAGTAAGCAAGTCCTATGCAGATAGCAAATCAGGCAGTAAACAGCTAGCAAGCTTAGTGTTTTTTCACATGACCACTTTTTATTGTAAAATGTTTTTATTCTCCATGAAATTAATTAGAAAGCAAATTCCTTATGAACAATAGGAGATTACTATTCTCATACTTAACATGTTTATTCGGAAGCTCCATTATATGAAGCAGAATTTATTTCCAAGGAGTATATACAAAACCACAATGAAATGTCTATACTCTTGTCATGAATATCCAGATCAAGCTCTATAGTGCTCTGTGGGGCTTATTCCCAAATTATAGCCCTTGTAGCTAGAAGTCTTTGTCTGGCAAACTGATCCTGTATTAACGTGGACTGTAGCACCATTGTACTTTGGAGAAGATACACTGGCATCAGACAAATGTTCAGATTCTTTCACCACAGGATGAAGTTTGATATCTCCACCATTCCAGCATTTAAGGGTTCATATGTTTATTTGCAAGAAAAAAAATTGCTGTGAATTTAATTTAAAAGAGTTAATTGTGTTACTACAAATAACACAGTTTTAAACTTGTATTTTTGTAAAAGCAAAGGACAAAAAGATTGGGACATTGGTGACAGTATTTTAATGTGTGGTTCAGCCCTTAGTTCAAGTGCCATTGGGAACCACAAGACAACTCTGACATGAATTCTTATTCTTCTCTCCCAGATGGAAACAGCACTCATAGTGGCGCCTTCTTACTAAAAAAAATCCCCGAATTAACCCAGAGAATGTCAAGTTTCCATTGCAAACAGAATGATCTTTCACCCACAATCCCTCTCTGGAATCCTCATCTGTTACAATGGATTTGGAAAGAAAGGGGAGTGAAGAGAGGGCTGGGAGTGGAGCAGCATTGTTTTCAGTAACAGCTGCAGTAATAACAGCCAAAAAACTAAAGATAGTGCATTAGAGAATGTTCTGCTATGCAAGAAGTCAGGAAGTGAAATAATACAGTGTCAGGCCACAGAAAAACAGTTCCTGGGTCAGTTTTGCACGGTAGATGTTGACAAAGTTACCCAATCCATTTCCCCCCCAAAGCTATATTAACATTCCAGCAACTACATTCTAGAAACAGGAGGCTGAACGAGAGGTTTCACAGAACTAGTTGCTACAACAGTACTCACAGAGCCTGTAATTATTAATTAGAGGAGAGTCACATAGTGATACTAGGAAAAAAACAAAAGAGGATTCCAATTTGCAAATGTTGATTTATACTGTATATTAAGATAGAAATCTAGAAATGATGTGTTTCATCATAGTTGGGAAGCCTGTGATATGGTGAGCAGACAATCTATTTCATTTGCTGTCTAGGTGTTGCTAACTGTTGATGGAAAACTTCAGGTCACTTTTAATGATTTCTTAATCTTTAATCTTTAAGGCAAATTTGGATTGGAAAGTTTTGGGCACTGCAAAAAAAAAGGATCAGTTCAGCAGAAGAATCAGTGATGTGATTTTTGAAGAACATCTGTGGAATGATTAATTGTAGTTAGAGGCAATGCAGGGAATGGAAGAGTTTGATTTAACTCTCTTAAAGCAGGAGAAGAAATATGTATGTCCAGATGGCCATGTGATATTTATTATCATTGAGATTAAAAATTACCTTGAAAACAACACCTGACTCCAAAGATTATATATGCCTTTCTCCTTCACATTTGTTTTTTGATTGCTACTTCTTTCATTCGTTATAAGGCATGTTCATGCTTTTCATCTCCCTCTTTACATCATATTAAAGTACAACATGATATTTGAGGATATTCCATCTCTACATTTAATTTTTCATGAAAGTTCAAGAAACATTGAAAATATTGTCAGCATCAGTTACCAAAGGTTAGGAAAAGTCCACTCCCCCCTTGTTCAGGTGAATCCTAAAAACGGTGTGATGGAAGCTGGTATTCATGGTAAGTCATTTGATAAAAAGAGCAAAGGAAGGCAAGCCTCAATTCCTTTCTTAAATAGGTGGCTACATCATGAAAATATTGCTAATAGTAAGAGAATCTCATGTTAATTCTCAAACATAGTGATAGTTTCTTCCTTGCTCTTTTTTTTGTCAATGAACATATGATTGCTCACCAACCAGACTCACTGGTTTGAGCTGGGAGGTTATGCAAAAATAAATGATAATACCATGATTATTGGAGGAATGGGGGGCTATACATTAAAACTCCACACCTGGAGGTTGCCTGATTGGAGAAAATTATATAAGCATATTGGGACAGGAGAAAGCTGCTTCTATCTCATGTTGCCCCCTTTTTCTTTAGTATGTGTTTGACTACCACGATGGAGATATTTTTAGCTGCGTTGCAGATATTGGTTGGATCACAGGTCACAGTTATGTGGTATATGGACCTTTATGTAATGGAGGAACTACAGTCCTTTTTGAGAGTACTCCAGTGTATCCTAATCCAGGTAAAAAAACAATTAAAATAAAAAATTTAAAAGATTAGGGAATGGGGTGTTGGTGCAAGACAAAGAAAGGCACAACATTATATGGTTTAGGTATAACCAGTAGACTAATCTGTGGCTCATATATCTTTTATTTTACTTTATTTCTATGCGGCCCATTTTCAAAGGCTTCAAGATAACATCAATAATTGAATTTGTTACCTCATTACATACTACTCTTGCTTCTCTTCGCTTGTGGTCATTATCATTCTCTTTCCTATATTCTATTAACTGGCTTCCTCTACATATGTTAAGGTTGTTCTCCAAAATAATATATTCATGGGAGGTGGTGTACTAATTAGTTAGGATTAATAGAAGATAAAACTATCCCATTGCCTCCTCATATCTGTTAGCTTACACAAACATGCAGGTTAAGAGTGATGGGAGCTATGGGATTTTAAATATATGGGATATTAAATGGGAGCATAACAGAAATTGTGTTTTATGGGTAGACCCACTTCAAATAGTAGCTTTTTACACAGTGATAACGGTGTGGCAATGCTTGCAGCTAAACACATAATTATTATGCTTTCTAAAGGCATAGTGTCCTGAAATAACTAGTGGATTCATTCATTACATTAGGCCTTCATTAACACCACAATAGCATTTATTTATTTATTTGTTGATTGATTTGTATCTCACCTTTATTATTTATTAACTGAAGCACACTTCAGTATCCAACACACTTTCCTCCTTCTATTTTCCCCACAAGAACAACCCTGTGAGGCAAGTTGGGGTGAGGGAGAGTGACTGGCCCAAGGTCTCCCAACTGGCTTTCATGGCTTAGGTAGGACTTGAACTCATAGTCTGCTGCTTTCTAGCCTGGTGCCTTAACCACTAGGTCAGTATTGCCAATGAAAATGATATTCATTCTTTAAAGACTTTACAAGTTCATACGTACAGTACATTTTTATCTATTTTGTATGGAACTTTTTAATACATTTAATTATATATGAAATTTAGAAACTGCCCATCTCTCCCACAGAGTCATTCTGGGTGGTATACAAGTAAAATATAAAACATAGAAGTTTTTTATAAATATTATATAAGGATTACATCTAAATGTATATGTACACAGCATGTACATCTAATAACTATTACATGTACTTCATGCAGAATTAAAATTCAGCTTTGCATTTTGATTTTATATATTTGAAAAGCATGTTTGTAAATGTGAACCAGGTAAATAGTTTGTCATTTCAGGGCGTTATTGGGAAACTGTGGAGAGGTTAAAGATAAATCAGTTTTATGGAGCCCCAACAGCAATTCGCCTTCTTCTTAAATACGGAGATAACTGGGTAAAGAAATATGACAGGTCTTCCCTCAAAATTCTTGGATCAGGTGAGTTGTAAGCCAACCAATATCATTTTCATCCTGGCAAAGAATGTGTATATAGGTCTTGTGCTCTCTTGAGCTTGGTTGTTTACTTGCAGAAGTTTCATTTCCCCACTACTCTGCACGCAAACAACAAAACTCAGAGAATCTTAAGGACTCCACAGTTCAACCCCGAGTTATTCTCTTTAATTGGAATTTGTATGGTAGTTAGATTAGCAGGTGAGGTATTAAATTCATCATATTTGTAGGATTCACATATTTTGCTATTCCAATATTTTTTTAATCATCATTTGTTAAAATGTCACTGAGAATGGTATGCACATAACATAAGCTATAATGGATAGATTCACATATTATGCTAAGCTAAAGCCAAAATATGTTATGGTTTAACAAAATGCACCCAAACCATTGTTTTTTTTTTTTTACAAGTTATTTTGTTTTTCCTTTCTTCTTGCAGTGGGAGAACCTATCAATTCAGAAGCCTGGGAGTGGTACTTCAATGTGGTTGGAGATAGAAAGTGTCCTGTAGTTGATACATGGTGGCAAACTGGTAGGAAGAATATAAATTCACTATTTTTGGAGAAGTAATTGTCACTTGGTTAAGCATTTATTTGCAAAGATTAGTATGCATCATGTCTTATATGCCAAGATAGCAATGAAGGATTTAAATATGCTGACCCAAAACTTGATTTGAAAAAAAATAAAAACAAATTAAAGACACTTGATGGTAACAGCTGGACTACATTCATTAAGATTACAGTGTACGGGATAGTGTCCTATGCATAGGAATATTTGCAAAAATGTTCTAGGGACACAACCAGGTATCTTTATTTTTCTACAAACTATAAGATCAGAAGCATAACTTGTATCATGAACAAATACAAGGAATTTTCATTTACAAAGTGGTGATCATAAAGATGAGAAAGATTTTCTTATTAGCATTCCTTCATTACCTTTCCTTCATTTCAGAAACAGGAGGCATCTGTATTGCTCCTCGACCTTCAAACCCTGAAGATGAGATTGTTCCAGCTATGGCCATGAGGCCATTCTTTGGCATCAGACCTTCTCTTCTAGATGATAAAGTATATTTTTTAATCGTATCAAGTGTATTGGAGAATTGATCATCCATTTTTCAATTCACACAAGTTCTTAAAAAAGAAATAAGTATCAAAGCAACAATTGTATACTATGTGTTTTCCCTTTACTTTCCTGAATTGGTTCTTTCTTGAAATAGCATGATTACCTACCTCATGCCTTTAAATCTCTTCCCCAAAGTCTTGTTTAATAAAAGGGTTTAGATTATGTCTCCTGGTACTATTGCATATTATCATTAAATTAATGTATAATTGAAATCATCCTATATATTTCCCCGTTTCCATTCCATTCTCTTTCCAGTTTTTCTCTGTATCTATTTGAGGTTGCAAATGTCCTGGATGGGGATCTAGTATACCTGTGCTTTGTAACGCATTATGTAGAGGGGTGGTGTTTTTTGAATATTACATTATGTATTAGTTAACCAATATAATATGTTCAAACAAGGCTTTGCATAAAGATTTCCTGGTGAGGTCAGCATAATGTGAGCGCTGAAGTCTTTGTTTTACTTTTAGTTCCGGGTAATTTTTTCTGGATTCATATATTTTATTACTTATTCAATTTATATGTCACTCATCACACTGTTGAAACAACTCTGGGTGGTATATTCCTATACAATAAACTATACTTTTAAAATCGTGATTTGTTGAAGAAGTCCTAGGAACCTGGTTTACACATATCACTAAGTCATAATGCTTGATCTATAAACCACTTGAAACTCAGTCTTGATCCAATCCAATTAGACAAGGAAAACAACAACAGTTTTAAAATAGCAGGGAAACTGAACTGGGTAAATATATAGGCTACATAAGTCAAATGTTTTTCTATAGGAAAGATAGGAAATGCATGATTTTGTAAAATGAGTTAACTGACAATGATGTACGTACCTTCAGCTGCATTCTTTTTTAAGCCTCAGTAATAATATGAATAACTATGCAGACCACTTCCGAAATTAAGTAAGTTTATACTATTTTTTTTTCTCTCTCTCCAGGGAAAAGTCTTAACACAGAATGATGTCTCTGGAGCCCTCTGTATTTCTCAGGCTTGGCCAGGCATGGCAAGATCTATTTACAATGATCACCAGCGTTTTCTGGAGACCTACCTAATGCCTTACCCAGGTATAGATCAGTGGAGATGGAAAGGGAAAATAAGAGTAATATATAGTTCTCAACAGTGTTTAGAAATTCTAATTCCCTCTTCTGAATTCTTGTGTACAATGGGACGTAGAAGCAGAAAAAGATTTTTTAAGTTATTGTCAGAGCCAAACTCACAATGCCATCCATATAATTAAACAGAAAACAAAAATGTGGATCAGGGCTGAACTGTGGAATCCTTGGTGCCATCTGAACATTGTTGTTTATTTGCAGGTGTTTCATGATCCAACTAGTGCACTGATGTTACCTAGTTGGGTAATGAAATATCTGTAAGCAAATAACCAAATTCCAAGGACTCCTTACTCACATATTTACCATTTATGACAATTATATGCATATTTCCTATAAATGTAAATAGGAATTTACATTTGGATTCAGATCTTACAAGGCCACAAAGACTTTAACAAATGCAAACTGGGCCTCTGCACTTATTGTTTGCATTGCAAAGGTGAATGCTTTCCTTCTAATTCAAATAATCTGGTGATATAGAAAGGAAAATGACCTTGACTAAGATATGCAGGAATCATTACCTAGAAAAAAATGGGCTGAAGCATTTTTTTTTAAGTCCAGAACCCTGAGATAACAAAAGGAGTAGATGTTAGGGAGGGAAAATACAACCCTACCTTTCAATATGTATTTTTTTTAAATTGGAGGACAAAATAATTGTGTTGTATACCTTGAAGTGGTACAGTAGAGGAAAAGGTTTATCAACTTAGCTGTTTGTGAAAAATAGCTGGGAGAAGTCTCAGGCCTTTGATGGAATATGTACAACAGATATAGTTCTGTGCAATCTGATCAGATTGTGTGTTTCAGTGAATGTAGAGATTAAGAGATTCATTGAAACAAGTAAGCTATTTGGGGTGCCTAAAGTTTTGTATTCAGCTGGTTCAGAGTGGTTCAAAGTGTGGCGGCATGGGCAGTTCTTGGGGTCCCAAGAATGGCCCATGCAACACCATTGCTCCGTGAGCTGATTGGCTGACAGTTTGTTTCTGGGTGCAATTCAAGGTGTTGGTGATCATGTTTAAAGCCCTTTGGGGCATGGGTTCAGGCTACCTGAGGGACATCTCATCCCACTGCGATTGGCCCGTCCCACCCATGCCAGCAGAGGAGGCATGGTATGGGTCCTCTCGGCCTGATTATTCCAGCTAATGGGGTTCAGGAGAAGGACCTTCTTTGCCATTGCACCTGCCCTCTGGAAGATCTTGTCCCCCCCAGTGTGAGATTGGCTCTAACCCTATCATTCATAAGGGCCTAAAGACCTGGCTCTGCCAGTTGGCTTGCGCCCCCAACGGGGGAACAACACAGCAGAGATGGTGGATTAACAAAAGCTGTCATCCCCACCCTGTCCCCATCCTCCCTACTTGTAATTGGATTTTAATGATTGATTTTAACTTATTGATGTTTCAATATATATAAATAGATTTTTATGATTGCAGACCCTGTGGTTAAGATGGGCAGCCAATAAATCTTTTCTCCCATTCATCCTGTGTGGGAACATTTTGGACTTTCTAAAGGAAAATAACTGCCTTATATTTTTTGCCCTGTTTTTCGTCCTAGGATATTTCTTCACTGGAGATGGGGCCTACCGGACAAGTCAAGGATATTACCAGTTGACAGGCCGCCTGGATGATGTCATCAACATCAGTGGGCATAGGCTAGGCACTGCTGAAATAGAAGATGTTATGGTAAGAGGCATGGAGAAACTAGCAGTTATTACAACATCTTAGTAGTCACCTAAGAACATACCAAGATATAATGATATGGGCAACTGCTACTGTTTGAGCTGGCCCTCTAGATCAGTGGTTCTCAACCTGTGGGTCGGGACCCCATTTGGGGTCGAACGACCATTTCACGGGGGTCGCCAAATGCAGTCCACCATTTCCCCCCCCTTTTCCTTAGCTGTGCTACTCCCTTTTATTCTATTGGCTTTTGAAAGCCAATAGAATAGACTCTCTTGAATAGAGTCTAATTCTATTGGCTTTCAAAGCCAATAGGAATTGTCCAGGCTGTCTCTGCCCTGCTGAGCCCGCCAAAAGTCCCATTCTGCAAACGGGGCTGCACCAGTTGAGTAGTCCTTGACTTACGACCGGTTGAGTAGTCCTCGACGTACGACCGGTTGGGGGGTCGCAGCATTAAAAAGGTCGAGAACCACTGCTCTAGATGAATTGCTTGTGGCTTTCCAGACTTCTGCATGTTTTATTGCTCCTTCCATAACGAAGGAAAGAGCAATCATATTTCAACAAAATATGAAAAACAAATTTTGATTGTCAGAAAAATATAAATAGATGCCTTCCTCATTTTCCTTTTGGAAACTAAAACTGTAGATCATAACTGCACGTATGTGGTTTCTACTCTCAGTATTGTAATTTTCATAATTAATATTGTTATCCAAAATATACAGGGCTTTAAAAATGATAAGAATAATGAATGATACAGAAAATAATATATTTAAGGAGATACCGGAATTTAAAAATGTAGTGAAATTTTCTCAGTGAATCTTCAGTAGCCTACTACAATGAAAAGTAGAGGTATACATATCTGTACACGTATATAAAATTCCTGAGTTACTTAATCAAAAAAGCCACCACAAAAGTTAATCAAGTAATACACATCAAGGCTTTCTCCAATCCTCCTGACATTAATTTGCTAATAACATTACATTGTGTGATACATTGTGCACTGGAGATATTTACTGCTTTAAAGCATCTCCTGCAGAATACGCTTTCTGACTCATTGCCCTTGAAGTGGATGCTTACTCTATTTTGTTCTACAGCTCAAAGTCTCATTAGAGATATTTCTTCATGTAAGGGAGGTATTCTATCACATAATCACTTAACCTGCACTGGGAAGAAGGCCTGGTACCTGAGAGCCTCGTCTTGCTATTCTATTGTTTTGACCACACCAGGCTTAGTGAACCACATGTTTCCACCAGCCTGTCAGGATCCTTGCAGTAAATTATAGACCTGTTTATGTTCCAGAATAAACATGAGGCAGTGGCAGAGTCAGCTGTGATTGGATATCCTCATAAAATCAAAGGCGAAGGTGGGTGAGTCAATCTGGCTGCTAATGACCGCTATTCCTCTAATAGACTCTGCCTTCACTAGCATATGGAATGAATATGCCACAGAATTTGTTTGCATGATACTTGTTTATTGCATGCTTGCGATCGGCTCTATTTAGAGGCTTCATGTGGTAATTTAATGACTGAAGATCAACTTCTCAAATCTTGGCTGAGAGGAGATATGGAATTCAACTGCAGTAAAATTTATAGTAAGAAAGGGAAGAAGAATGCAAAAGCATGAAGTTGCATACCCTGAGTCTTACCTCACAGGCCAATAACAATAAATCCTCCAATAGACTTATTTAGAATTTGTTTGAGTGGGGCATTGTTTCAAGAGTTAATCAGCAACTCAAAAGTAAAATTAATAAAAGCTCTTACTTCCTACTCAATCTGAGCCAACAGATAGGGGGATTCAGCTTCTTACAAGCTAAAGGGACTATTGTAGTATGAAAGTCTAGTTTTGATAATTGTTTATTTTGCTCTTCTCTTTTTTTAAAACAGGGGCCTATGCATTCATTGTGCTGAAAAAAGGCTTTAAACTGTCCCAAGAAAACCTGACCTCTGAACTCGGAAGCCTTGTTTCAAAAGAGATAGCAAAATATGCAGCACCAGACCATATTCAGGTAACAACAGGGAAGCTTTTTTTTTTTTTCCTAATGCACATCTTCATTCTGCCTATCAATGAATATTTGTAGTCTGACAGAAGGTAGAACATATTTTTTTTATTTAGTTAGATCCGGAACATTTAGTATTTTTACAAATAACTCAAGGTGGTAAGCATATCCAATGCACCCTCCTCCTCCTCCTCCTATTTTCCCCACAACTCTACGAGGTGGGTTGGGCTGAAAGAGTGTGACATTGCAAGAAAATTCAAAGCAGTTGGATAACCAATGCAATTTGTTACAAAGACATATTTAATAATTTAAAAAGTCCAGTATAATCTAATTCTTCTGCTGTCACTGATCATTGCTCAGAATATTTTAGATTTGCTTATTTGCATGATTTGCTTTCCATCGATTAGCCAAACAAGACGGTGGCTTCATTATTAAATCTAAAAAATTAAGCATGAAAGTTACCTTAAGTATCAAGCATATAACTTTTTTTAAAAAAATAAAAATCTGGTTAATTTAATAAGTATCTAAAGCACTTCAAAAGCATTAGAGCAGGGATAGAAATCTTATAGTGTTCTACCTATTCTAGTCTGGTTTCTAAAGGTTAAATGAACTAATTAGCTATGAAATGAGTACATTACTAAAGATCTTTTACAAACACATAAATGCTATTGCAACAGGAATCAAATAATCTTTCAACAAATGTATTTAAATAAACATTAACTTTTCTACTTTTTTCTGGCATTACTTAATTTGCAAGTTAAAAATCACTATTACCAAGTACATACACGCCAATCCATTCTTTAGTTGTTTTGGTTGTGGTTTATGTACTATGTGAATTTAGCCAGAGTTTATGGCTTAGTGTGTAGTGTGTTTCCAGCCAATTATGGCTCATTCAACGACCTATGATTACGCAAACTAAGGTTTAGAATGTATGAATCCAACCATAACTACAAGGAAATCCCTTGTGGGAATAATTCTTTTTATCAATCTATAGAACTTCCCTGATTTTATAACCTTTAATTAAAATTTTCTCAGATCTTAACTTTTATGTCATCTCAAGCCCCTGAGTTTTCCCAACTCCTTGTGAGTGTTTGGTTTGCTCGTTCCATAAACTTTCCCACGGAAGATTACTATGTCAGAGGAGACCCTTACACAAATCCATGTTTGGTCTTCTTTTATTGGAAAGTTTACTGAGCAAGTCATCAATTTAATTGAGATACCGATTTTACTTTTTTCAGCAACCAATTCTGAAGTGCTAAAACGCACCAAAGAAAGAGCATCATAGCTTCAAAATAGCTTTTTCTTTGTTACCATTGTATGCCAATAACTTGGTAAGAAAGGGAATTGAACAGAGCCTCCTACATTTGCACATGCAATGAAAAAGACATGCTCGACTACCTACTTCCATGGGAAAGAAAATAGGTGCAGAAGTGAGATTTTTTTAAGATTTGCATTACATCTTTTCTCAAATTAATATTTATGGGATGAATTTCCCGATGGTGCTGTAATCTTTCCTTCATTTTTTTTTGTTCAGGTAGCTCGGCACCTGCCTAAGACTCGTTCGGGGAAAATTATGCGGAGGGTTCTGAAGAAGATTGTAGAAAACAAAGCAGATGAACTTGGAGATCTGACAACTCTGGATGATCATGACACAGTGAAAGAGATAATTGAGGGACACAAGAAACTTCTGCAGAAAGACCAAGATCAGTAGCCCAAATATCTTGGCCCTCAAGAAGCAACAATGAGAAGAATACTGTGGCAACAGCAGTCTTTGTACTCCTAAAATCCTTTGCAGAACCAAAAGGGAAGCTTATTCATTACTGACAAAAACTTATCTTAATAAATGGGAAGAATATAACTCTTACGTAATAGCTGAAGAGTATGCTGTTTAATATTCTATACCACATTCACTACTTATCCAAACCACTCCTGGATGATTCACCATTTGCTCCAAGGTTTATGTATTAGACAATTAAGACCCTATCTCTGAGCAACTAAAGTCTGCTGGGAGGAAAACCTCAAACTTTAAGGAAAAATTGCTATGTTTAAATACATTTATAGAGGATCTTTACATAATATCGAACTTTAGAGAATAAAAGAATGCTTTGGATTTCATTAGAAGATTTGGGGGAGCTTTTCAAAAGAAAAAGGAGGATGTATAATTTAAAAAACGTAACACAACATGTAAAAGATAAGTAACATATTTCTTCCTCCTGCCCATCTTATAATAGCTTCATTCTGGATTTTAAAGCAATATAACAATTTTTTTCAACTGCTGTTTGTCTTTCTCTTCCTTTTAAATGCTAATAAAAACAAATAGAGCACATTCTTTTAAAAATTGTCAAAAGGATCTAACAAATTAAAAGGATACACGTAACCTCACACTTCCTCAGCTACCTCCTAGCAGAAATGTGTATCCATCTTTCTTGAAAAGCCACCTTTGGTCATTTTGGTAAGAGCTGTCTGCAGGAATGAACGGAGGGATGCTTTCCATACTTACAGCAACCTTGATTATTTTGCATTTTTTAACAGTTCTGAAAGTTGTAATTCTACCCCTGCTCGTAAGCTAAACATGTAGTTGTAAACACTGCCACAGTTTAATAGATGGATAGAGGCATTTATTTATTTTTCACATCTTTATCTTGCCACAAGCCAAAGATGCTTGCTGGCTTACATAGGCTATAAAAACCAAGTAAAACTTCTACAGTACAAAAAACAGTAAAAAAAAAAGCCACTCATCAAATATAATAGTACAAACAATAAAACAAGCTAAAGGTGGTAGAGTAAAATTAGGGGAAGTCTTTCTAAAATAATTTCATCTTTAGTAGCTTCTGAAACATCAACAAGGAGGGGGCTGGGCCTGATCTCTACCAGCAAGCTGTCCTGCAGCCTTGGTGCTGCCCCTGAAAAACCAGTGTCTTCTTGGTTCAGGCCCTTCAGCCTCTTGAAAATGTAGGGTGAGTGATACTTTGTGTTTGCTCTGATTGGTCAGATCAGGACTGATTGGAGGATGTGGTCCTGCAGATAGCTAGGTATTTGCTCATCAGAAACCACTCTGATATCTTGTGGCAACAGAGAACTCTGAGTATCCAACACTCCAATTTACTAAGTTTCACTTTCAGTCTTTTCTCTGCCATCCAGGTCTTGGGAAAGGACATTGATAGCAACCCCTCAAAGCCCAGCTAGTAATGAGATACAACTGACTATTATTAGCATACTGTTAATACTGAACCCCCAAAATGTCAGGTGGCTTTTCCTAGAAACTTCATATAGGCAATGAGCAGGAAAGAGAGAAGTAACCCTTGTGGCATCTCAGAGGCCACTGACATCTCCACTTTCACAGGAATGACCCTTGAGGAAGCAGTAGAATCACTGAAAAAACTCCCTCCCATCCTGACCCTCTGCAAAGCTATATTTTGTACTTCACAACATGTCAAGAGTGGTTATTTTTTTTTTACCAAGTGGTGCTGACATTTTACAAAATTCATTGTTATTTTACAGTCAAAGACGCTGTGCTACATTTACTGGCCTTATAGGCCAGCATAATTCCACTTATGCAGTCACACTTAAAAATGAATTCCATAGATGAAGCAAAATTATTCTTTCCTTTCTGGATGAAAGGTTGTACAGCAATCAAAACAATGGATTGAAAGCAAATGTATAAGATAAGAAATGGTTAAAAACTTTCTCCCCATGTTTTTTTCTTAATTGGAAACTTCTTGGCACTTGTAATTTTGAAATTTCAAGCCATACTTTCTCCATGAAAGCATGCTGATTCCAAGGCACTTTAACTTGAGGCTTTAACTCCAATATTTTCTGTGATTGGTTTGGGAATAGTTCAGGGTTTCTCAATTCTTGTTAGCTCCCATTTTCCTTCTCCATACAGTTTCAAAATCCAGCTATGGAACTGAAATTAAATAGTAAACACAATCTGAGAACTATGACTTTAAAAAATAATTTCCCCTTATCTCCTTGTACTTATCACTCTTACCTTTTCCAGATTTTTACGATGTCCAACACTGACCAGAGTCATTCCCAGTTGGATGCAGATTCTATACATCTCATTCTCTACATCTTCTGTCAATGCACTTGTAGCTTCATCTAGCACTGCAAGTTTAAATGGGAGCCCTTCAATATGGCACTACTATAATTTCCAACCTTTTTCTTTTCCTTCTATTGCTGAGTAAAACTTGGCAAATGTTACCTGGTTACTTCTCTAATTTTAGCATGCCCTGATCATCACTCAAATATTTGTAATGTGCTTTATGTGGGGCTGTCTTTGGAGACAACTACAGTTGGTTCAAAATATGGGAGCAAAGCTGCTAATGGGACAACACCACCAGAACAGCACTACACAACCTATCCTGATTCAATGCATTGCCAATTGGTTGCCTTTTGGGCCCAACAGAGAATGCTAATTATCTCTTTTAAAGCCCGCCTACTGCTGCACTGGGTTATATCAGACAATGCCCAGCCAAGATAGTACAAACACCTAAAGGGGAGCCTGTAGAGAGTCACCTCACTTTGCAAGGACCACGAGGCATGAGACAGACAATAATGGTGGCCTCTATCTTTGGAATGCCTTGTCCCTGGAAGTGAGAATGCTCCCTCCCATGCCGCGTTTAAGAAGCTAGAACTCATCACTGAAGTCAGCATTCAGCCCCTAGTTTGTTCTACTGCCTCTTACATATTTAATTTTTAGTTGTTTGGACTTTATATTAGGATTTTAACGGTATGTATCAGATGGATGGCTCAATGCACAGAATCCTAGATGATTGGGGTAGCTTATAAATACACTAAAATACATACATACCATTTAAGACATTTATACATTGAATGGGACTATGGAGAGTTCTCAACTTAAGCTTGATAAAAATGCATATTAAGGTAAGTAGATCATAGGCACAGGCCAATAAATATTCTATGCAGCCATTTTCTATTTAGTACAATCAAGCAGGGCAGATATGTTTCAGGTATGCAACAGTGTCATCTTACAGGACTTAGGAAACACAGCTACTCTGTTGCGGTACCTGCTTTCTGGAAGGAGCTCCCCCCAGAGACTTATGTGGCTCCCATCCTTATGATATTCAGGAAGCTACTAAAAACCAAATTGTTCTCGGAGATCTCAGAACAGGATGGTTGTAAAGCCTAGTTTAATTACATTTATTATGGCTGTTTTGTTTGTGTGGGTTTTTTGTTATTTTTATATGTATTGTTTTTCTTTTTATCTGCTTTATATTGTCATGGATTGGGAAGCCTTGAAATTAGGTAAGTAAATAATATTCAGTTCCAATTCTCCTCAATCCTAGACAGCATGGCTTATAATTAGAGTTAGTGATATTTGTAATAAAACATTGGGAGAGGCACAGTATGCCAAACTCATTCTATAACCCTCAACAATAATGAAGTGGTGTTTTAAAGTATACAGTTGTCATCACGGGCTAATGTTGAAACATCTCCAAGTGTTTTTCTAACAGCATTCCAGATTAAAGATAATGCATACTGAAATGTACAGTACATCAGCCAAAATAGAATGTCTAGGCTCATATCCAACAATGTAGCTGGTTAAGTGCTACCAAAACTGAGTTGTAAAAAATATGCAATGCCCATTAAATAGCGCTATGAAGTTTGCTGCCATCTGTGGCCATTTGGGATTTTTGCAGCCTCTAAGCTAAGCTAGTTCAACTTTTCCCAACCTGGCATTCTCCAAGCTTGTTGGGATAAAACTCTCATTATCACAGTCAACCATGTCACTTGCTAAGGCTAAAATAATTATTTCAAATGTCTTTACTACCAGTTTTGGTCATGAAGCAACTTTGTTCTCTGTCCAGTTTTGTTTTCTAATCTATTTTCCCCTTCATGCTCGGCTCTTCAATGTGCTAGAGTGATCCCTGTTCCAATCCTCCTTTCCTAGATCTCTTGAAGCATCCTCTGTCCCTTGGCTGACTGCATATTCTTGATCTATTACATTTTATCAAGGTCCTATTTCCCCAGCTCTGCCTTTCTGAAGATATTGAAACCAAGAGATTTATAGAAAATATTAAGGAGAATAACTATCCAGCTTTCCAACAGGTGGTCATATTAGCTTTTTGTAGTAAAAGCAATGAAGAGCCTTGTGGTATCTCAAAGACTGATGTATCTATTATTGTCTAAACTTTTGTGATTACAGACTACTTCACCAGGCACATGGTCCTATGAGAAAATTGTTGTTATAGCGAGAGGAACTAAATGGTGGATTGTGATCCACAAAAACAATGTAATCATAATTTCTTAAGTTTCTAAGGTGTCACAAAACACTTTCTCCCAATGCCTTCCCATATCCTTAAACAAAAGAATTAACCCTATTATCTTCCATTTTCTTACCTGCATACTGGGGCTGTAAGTAGAACAAGCGAGCAAAAGACAGCCTTTGCATCTCACCTGGTGAAAGAATATCATACCTGCATCAAAGATAAGAAGCAGAACAATCTGCAATAAGCACAACTATTACAGTCTTTAGCAGCTTTGGATCTACTCACACCATGAACATCATTTCACTGTAAACAGAAAGCAACCTTACCAATTCCAGTCCACAGGCTGGTCCAAACCTCCTGTTCTCACTAACAAGTCTGACTGAATCAAGCACAGAAAACAGCAACAAGTTAAAACCCCAAACTTGGTCCATCCTTATCATCCAAATGCCTTCTCAGGTCTATTGTCACAAAATCATCTTGTTTTGTTAGTATAAGACCACTCCTATCTGCTTTCTGGCATCATGCCTTTGCTGTAAAGCATGAAGGTTGTTGCTAGAATTTATTATACTGGTATGGTTTATTGAGTGAGCCAAGGTTCAGCTTTGATACCAGTCATAAATTTAACTGCTGATGCTTGGTGTTCTCCAAATAAACCCAGCATGCTGAAATTCATAGTTCTTCTCTTTAAGGATTAATTATTGGCTTAAACTTGGTGAACCTTTTCATTCATTGTCTTCCAAAAACTGGGGTATGAAGCAATTTATATCTTTTATGTCCTAGGTAACTCACCAGTCCAGCCAGCTCCAGGAACCTGAGTATCCTTTCATCATCTATAGACCCTGTGGTACAAGACATTAATGGCAGAAGCACGCTAAACAAACTTTGCAGTGCTGTAACACCCAAAATAAGACATGAATTTGTGTGACATTCACATAATAAAGCTAATGACTTATTGAAATTAGGGTAGAAAAGGAAAAATACACCCCCCTTTTTAATAACATTTAATCTATAATTTGCGATCTTCCAGAGGTGGCTGAATTGCAATTCCCAGGAATCCCAGTCGATCTGTAGCTAAGTAGGCAGACATTTTTCAATAGGAAGGTTCTGTTTCCAAGAAAGATACCTTTATTTCTCTCCATCACCAGTCCTCTGATGTGAACCCCAGCCTGGGTTGTTGTAGCATAGTCCATCTGCCCTCTAATTTCTATTCATGCCCCTCTGAAGGCAGGAACCAAAGATTATTGTCCTTTTTTCCTCCTCCCAGCTCTTCTTCAACACAGATAAGGATCCCCATAAGACCCATTTCTACCACAAGTGGGAATACCCAACAACCAAGTGGGGTGGGGGCACTTGCTTGACTTTGTGCTTATGACAGGGATATCAACATAATACACTTTTCAAAGATAACTTAAAAACTTTCTTGGCGAGAAAAGCTGCAAACAAGGCCCAGGGGATCTACTTGCTTATCTGAAGTTGGGGAAGATGTGGAGTGGACTGAAAAGGTCGAGCATAGCGACTGGATCAGGTGTAGCTGGAAACCTATTAAAGTATATACCTACTCTGCTTCTAAGAGTGCCTGAATGCACAAGGCTAAAAAATGTGCAGCCCCCTTAAATTTGTTCATGATGTCTTGGAGATCATGATCCAAAGTTTAAGAAACCAGAGTGAGTATATTTTTAGAAGATCTGAAAAAGTAACAATACAATTCAAAGGGCATAATGTGAATATCTGTTCTGGTGTCTGGTGACAACAGAATGATTCTACGAGCTGTTAATTATTATGGATTTTAATTTCCTGTAGTTATCTTCTGAAGCAGAAGCCAACTCCATTTAGAAATAATTTAAAATTTAGAAATGTTGCTCAGAATTGAATGGACTGATTCTTTCATCCACAGGAAAGATGCTTAGGAAAAGTAGAGTGATATCATGATTTCTGACACAGAACAAGTATTGCTTGAGCAAATACTTGAGCAGTCTTTGGAGCTGGAATAGATATGATCCTATGAACTGGCATCATATTATTGGACTACAAATTCCTTTTTTATTTCTCTTATCTTCTAGCATATCAGTCTCCAGCACTGGCTTTCCTATAATTAAGAACATACAACCTGGGAATTGTAGAATTTGCAACCCCAACATATCTAGTGAATGCAAGATTGAGAAAAATCTGATTACTCCATTATGAATTAAGGCCAAGATGTACAAGGCTGAAGCTCTCAAATGCTTTGGAGCAGCCTCCTGAGAACTCCCAAAAGTTATTAATGAAGAAAATGATTAAATGCATAACATAAAAATAATAAAATTTACTATATTTGTTTTCAATCAAATTTAAATGTAAACAAATTCTATTTTCCTGTCCTGGTTCCAGCTATTACTTTTTAAATTTAGATGCTGACATTCTATGTTTGGCTCCAGCCCAGAAAAAAAATGCACTTCCCCGAATCTGAGAGATCCCAGTATTTAAGGAACAACTCAAAATAGACATGAGAACTAGACGTTATCGAGACAGAAGCCAAGCAAAATAACTTCCAGTCCCATTAAGTAACCTCCGGCTTTTATTAGATTTACATTAAGAGGACTTTCCAAACTATCTGAAAGTAATCAAGCATCATTTTTATTTAGATGACTTTTCACCAAGGACTTTAGAGATTGATTTTAAATAAACCTTTCACTGATAAATCCAACTTAATTTGCTGAGAACCTAGAAGTTGTTATCTATCATCATAAAATCAGAACTGTTTGATTATTCTCATGGCTTTTATAAACATGCTAGTCCACTCTTTGGATTTATAATCGACAATCATATCCTGCATACAACAGTGAATAATGTCAGATGTTGGCTGCCAACAGAACTTTCACATCACCTCATATTACCTCAGGGTGAAAGGGTTTTCAGTGAGGTCACATCCCACATTTAGTTGCCAAATAAAACCATGTGGTTACACACATATGTTAACAAAAATCAGAGATACCCCAAAATATCAGAGATACCCAAAAATATCAGAGATGCCCAATAAAATGAGGGAGGAGTGAGAAAGGGTGAATAAGTGACTTAGGGGGAGTCAAATTGCCCAGAGGCCATTCACTAAGACTCACAATATATTATTTTGATAAGAGGATTTATTCATCATCCTTTTTATCTAAACTTCTTCAGATAAAAACTTCTTTTCTGGCTTTATGCCCAACATGTGCACCACACACACAAATTAAATTTATTTCTCTTAATACAGTTCTACAGAGGAATTATTGAGTCTGTCATCTGCACCTCTACAACTGTCTGGTTTGGCACTGCAACCAAACAAGACAGACTCAGACTGTTAGGACTGCAGAAAAAATTATTGCAAGCAACCTGCCTTCCACTGAGGATCTGTATACTACATGAGCCAGAAAGAGGGCTGTGAAAATATCTACAGACTCCTCATATCCTGGACGTAAACTGTTTCAACTTCTACCCTCAAAACCATTGCATGCTAAAACAACTAGACACAAGGACAGTTTTCCCCCCATGCCATCACTCTGCTAAACAACTAATTCCCACAACACTGTCAAACTATATAGCAAGGCTGTATTACTATTCTTCTTCTCATCTTTGCTAATATTTATCTCCTAATCTACTTATGACTATAACTTAGTTGCTTGTATCTTACGATTTATATTGTTTTCTTTAGTATCCTAGTATGATTTATGTTGATTGCTTATTTTAGTAACCTATGACTATCACTAAGAGTTGTATCTTATGTTTTATGATGAATGTATTTTTATGATGACTATGACCATGCTATATTGCTTGTATGTACATGAGAGCTATGCAACTGGAGTCAAATTCCTTATGTGTTCAATCACACTTGACCAATAAAGAATTCTATTCTGTTCTGTTCTGTTCTGTTCTACTCTACTCTACTCTACTCTATTCTATTCCTATTTCTATTCTATAGAAGGCCTTTCATTTTACCTCTCAATCTTTCTTTCCAATTGCAGCTCAGTTTAGAAGTTTATATGTACTTTATCAAATTTGCTCTTTTTGCCCAAATTCAATTGTCTCCTCTATAGTTTATTTTAGACTATAAAGTTTAGACTGTTCCTTCACACATTTAAAAATATTAAATTTTTAAAAATTAAATTAAAATGATATGTTCAGAATATTTATAACAGATACCTACATATGTAACAAATACTAGCCCTGCAGATGATTTGGAATGAGACTTCCATCAACTCTAACCATTATAAACAGCACATAATCATTCAGAACATTTTGAAGGGCATCAAGCTGCATATCCATGGAATAAATTTGTGCTGACTTGTTTGATCAAGATCTGACCACAATTCACATATAATCCATTGAAAGTTTCCTTTGGCTATACAGCATAAGGCCAAACATGCATATGGAGGGACACCTCTTAGCCCTAAACATATTAAATACCTTTTAATAAACATCCTGTCAATTATGTTTTGCAAAAGAAGTAGTAAAGCTACAAAAAATTAGTCTACCTATATGTACTGCTAGGTCATGCAATGAAGGCATACATAATTAAGAAAAGATATACATGGTGGTAGTCTCCAATGCAATTCCCACTCACCAGAATCTGGATAGATTTCCTTTAGAGGGTATATAATCTAAATCAAATAAAGTAGACACAAATTCCAAATGAGACACTTCACAAACATAAAGGAACCAGAGATAAGCAGCAATTCCCCTCCCTTTAGTAAGAAACCTTTGTAAGTAAATCAAGCAGGGTTCCTAAAACTATGCATTGAGTATAAAGTAATTCTGGAGCATGCAGGAAATCTAACCACTCTGACAATCTGATACTAACATGACTCACCTGTTCCCGCAGTGTTCCATCTGTGAAAAAAGGACGCTGAGGTATGATCACCACTCCATGGGGGCCAAAGGAAGTCAGCATGTGGACTTCCCCTGCACAAATCCAGCAGAAAAAGTAAAAAAATGCAAAGCTATGAGCCCTCACTTCCAATTGTCAATAATCAAAATCATTTAATCAAAAGACCTACCCTACATCTTATGTATTTGCCTGTTTTTTAAATAGCTGCAGCAAATTGATCTTTATTTTGTCACATTTGCTAGGGCTTCATCATGTGGCAATTTCAGAAGGGAATTCTTGATATAGGATCTCTGGATGTGCAATACTTCTGCTTCAGCTGACACAAAGCATTGTAAACTTTCAATGTCAACTGGAAATATATTGGTTCACTCAGGATTTCAACAAAATGTGTACTGTTGGGTTTTTTGTTGCTCTGTTCTATTTTTGGTTTTAAGATGTGGGAGACCTGTGTCTCCCCTTTTGAGATTATTGCATTCATAACGAAAAATAAGCAAATTTTATAAATGAAATAAATCAAAACACTCTTTCAATACACACACACAAAACAATATTAATAATCTAAAACATCAGCCATCACAGATCACAGATCAGCCATCACAACAGACACAAAAATATAAACCACATTTAAACACTAATCCAAAAAGCAATAAAAAAGCTAAGGGGGAAACAAAAAGACTAGAATACATCTTTTCCAGTAGTCTACACTCAGATAAGCAGATAACAAGCAGAAAACAACACCCTAATCAAGGAGCTATCAAGAAGAAAATGACACCCTCACCAATGTTGGAAGGATAAGCTACTGTATGTACACATGGAACAAGCCCCATACTCACTAGCACTGATGATATTACCTACCTGGGTAAAGAAATGTCTGTAAGCAAACAACCAAGAGAGCATCAAGGACTCCATTAAATTCATGATGTGGGCAATATCTGAATGGTCTTCCTGATTCAGTGAAATCTGCACTCCCTATAAACAACCTTGGCATCCTTAAGTTGAGGAAGGTTGGGACTAATAAATTCAACTTTTACCCCATAAGCAAGATTGTGAAGGATCAACTTGATGAAAGGCCTTAATGTACCAATGCACCATTTCTGGGACATTGGGGCGCTCACCCTGCTTGCACTTCCACAGGCCTCCGAGTATACGCAACAAAGATGTCTTTCCTGTGCCTGTATTCCCAGTAATCAGGAGATTATTCCCTTGTGTGACTCTCAGGTTTAGGTCCTTGACAAGCAGGTTTCTGGAAGGAGCAGCAAGGGAAACATGCTCCAGAACAAAAGCAGTGTCTTTTGAGGTCCTCTTCTCTTTAGAAATGCTGAAGACATCAAGCCCCCATAAAAAGAGAGGAAAGATAAGTTAAGAACAGATAGTATGAGCATGGTTCATAGAGAGTGCAGTCTATGTATCTTTGAGTACTTTAATGGTACAATCTTGTATAGCACCAAAGAAACAAGGACAGCCCCACTCCAAATATTTTATTATTGAGACTCTTCTCAACAGTCAGTCATTTTGGATGCCTGCTGTTGCTGCTGAAATCTGCAGAGTTTTTAAAACTTCTTGGTATAGGAATTCATAAAAGTCCTCAAGTGCCCATATGTTCCCCCAACCCACTGAGAGGCCTAAGAAACCTTTGGGAATTAGATCAGGGCCTGACAGCTTCTTTATAAAGGTCAGAGTATGCTATCCCATCTCTTTTTCAGTCCCTATAATTCTTGTCCCAATACTTGTCAGCACCAAGTGCTACAGCTCTCAGGTTCCACTTGGCATGTTCGTGTGTACCCTGATTTATTTATTTATTATTTTAAATAAAATGCCCAATAGCTCAGGTCTCTGATTGTTTATGATAAAACACTAAAAGAATTACAATTTGAATAAAGATAGTTACTGAATAAAAGATCAAACAAAAACTTCATATGCAGTAAATTAGGTCATTCAAAAAACAAACCAACCCCAATATGAATTAAAATAAAATTAATTGCCAGTCTAAATGTCTAGAAAAATAAAATGGATTTCACCTGGTGCTGAAATGATGCCAGTATGGATACCAATCAAGTCTCTTAGGGGAGAAATTCCACAAATGGGGTGCCAAATCTCCTCTTTCTATTCTTACAAGCATTCCTACAGTTAAAAAAAAGGGGGATAGAAAAAAAACTTCCCTCTCTCCATTACCACTAATTATCCAACCCCCCTTCCCCCCCCAAGTTTATGTTTGACCCAGAAACATGATTGGGAGCCACCAAGCATTTTTAAGCATCTGGCATGAAGTAGGTATCTCTGACATCTCAAATTCATAAAAAGAACTCTATAGCAGGTGAAAGAAGGCCTCAGTTTGATACTAGGTTCTTACAGTCTGATCTGGTATACTGCAGCTTCCTACAACCCTGACTTCCTATATTATCCTTAGAATTTCCCAGAATTATTTCCCTGACAAACCATCGCAGAAGGATACACTGGAATATCCTTCCATGGATATGCCCAAGATATTTAGCTATAATTTGTATGATAACCCAAACATCCAAGGAGCATCATGGCATAAACACCAAATTCGCATCCCACATCCTGTAGCTACATACCTGTCGAAGTCCCATTTGTCTTGTGATTCACTATGACTTTGCTTCTTGGAAAGGTTCAGCAATACTTCCTGCAACTCCCCAATTCTACAAAAGCCAGTGATTAGGGACGGAGATGAAAAAAATGCTTACATTATACAATTTCCCCAAAGGTTAAGAAAATATTTACTGAAAAAAGGAAGAGGTTATATATGTTTAGATATATCAGAGTGATTAATGTTTGTAGAGTTTCAGGATCCACCTGAAATGCTTTTCAAATATGATTGCCCTGTTGCCTAAGAGAAGTGCCAGTTGAAATTAACCATTTTAGAAGTTATTAAGGTTCTTTACTCTGCTGTATCTCTACCACTTCTAATTAGATCAGGGATTCCCCAACCCCTAGTCCATGGACTGGCAACGGGCTGCGGCATGCCAGAAACTGGGCTGCACAAACAAGCAAAGCCCCATCCATGGGATGCACACAAAACCACATCCCCTCCTGTCTGTGGAAAAAGCTCTCTTCACAAAACTGGTTCCTGGTTCCCTAATTCAGTGGGTACACTGAATTAGATGTTCAGCATCTTAGGTTTGAAGAGGAAAGAAAGAGGTTATCTTGTTATGTTTTTTCTCTTTAAAAATGCATCTTAGAAGAGATTCTATGACAGGCCCACTTTTGTGGCCTCAAAGAGTGAAAACTCTGCCCTCCCCCCCTTTTTATAGGAAAGCCTATTGGCAAAATCAGCCTTGCAGATATTTAAGCCACTCATTTCATCTCTTCAAATTATTAAACTCTCATTCCAAAAGGAGATCTGGTCCTGTCCATCTTTGAAATGAGATCCTCAAAACCCTGGTGTAGCCCTTGAACTGATAAAAATCATAGACTTCTGGAACAAACAGTGGTGGATTCCTTTATCCTTCAGAACTTGAGAGATCCAGAAGCTTCCATGCTATCTGATTGCTTCTCAAACCCAGAGAACAACATACCTGTGCGTGTAGCCAGCTACGTCGGACAATGTGGTAGAGAGATCAATTAGGAGACTGAAACAGTGAATCAAGTAAATGGAGACAAAGGCATTCTGCAAAGCAAAATCACATGAGAATAGAGCTAGGTCAAGATGGGGAAATACTCCACAAAAGAAAGGCAACTCTAATTACATTACCCTGAGGTTAAGAAACCTCAGACCAACAATCAAGTAAATAATACCCCAATCAAGGAATTGCCAAATAAGGCAACAGTAAACAGCCCAACCAAAGAATTTCTAAGACCACCCCAGGCCAAGCTATAGAATACAACCTGAGAGCAAACCTTTAATTAATAAAAAAGCAGGATCTTTCACCCTAGAAAAACTGCAAAAACTCACCTTGCTAACTAAGGAGCTCAGTTCTGTGGGATTCAGATCATTGTATACTCCACTAAATATAGGAATGGCAATCATCATGTAGCTAAGGATGCTGCCCAAATAGTCAAAGGTATTGATCCCAACTGGAACAAAAACATATCAACATGATGTAGTCAGTAGAAGGGAGCTTTTGAACAGGTAATAGGATCCAGATCTTGCCACACTAGGCTCAAGTGCAGAAAGATACAATTTTTTCTTCTTCACATGGGCACAAACTTTATTGTAGAGCAGGGGTCCTCAGCCCCGGTCCATGGATTGGCACCGAGCAGTGGCATGTCAGAAACTGAGCTGCACAAACAAGTGATGGCACATCCACGGGATGCAGGCAGCATGTGAAACCACACCCCCTCCGGTCCATGGAAAAATCTCTCTCCACGGAACCGGTTCCTGCTGCCCAAAAAGTTGGCAGCTACTGCTGCAGAGCACTACATTTAGACACTCATCAGCTGCACTTTAGCTGAAACTAGATTGAAAATGACCTTTATATTTGCAAAGTAGGGAATGTTTCTATATCAACAAGACTGCTTTAGCAGTGTGGGCAAAAGCAAATATTTTTAGTTCAATGTCATTCTTACAATGTCTCCAGTCCTTACTGTGCTTTTTAAAATAGCATGTTACATGTTGCACAAATCATGCAGCGTATTTGCAATTGTTGAAGAAACAGAATGACTCAGGGGGGTGTATAGTCAAAGGCTAATTAGACTTTGATAAGGCAACCTATGAACACAGATCAGTTTGACCCACTTATAACAATGATCATACATCATTACATATATGTTTGACATTGTGGTTGTTTTAGCCTGGGAAAAATATCCCTGATCCAAACTAAATTCTGATATTTAGGAAAATATATGTCAACAGTAAAGAAACATCTGTCCATTATTCTGAATAGCAAAACACTGGGAAAGTCCTTTTAACAGAGACAGAAAATCCCATAAAAACCCAAGTGCAGATTACTTTCTTCAAAAATGTTAAAGCTGTATCCTGCTTTGGACACTCACCCTAAAGTCTGTCACCTTTCAGGAACAGAAGTACAGAATCCAAATATTTCCATTTGCATCTGGATAGCCATGGAATTCATCTTCTGTTTCAGAGTTAGCTGATCCTTGACCACCGTACTTTACTATTTGAAATATTTTGTCCTCAAAATATTTCCCACATGCAAGATGTAAAGTTTCTCCCTAGTGAAGCTATCTTAATCAATGTACAAGTTAAGACGATAAAATGCTTCTCCTTACTGTATAGCCATAGTTCCTTTCCCATCAGTTCCCTTTGCGTCTTTAAAAGATTTTGAAGCTTGTAGTTGGTTCGCATGTGTTCAACTTCCCCAGCTCTACAAAACAACAAAACAAAAGGACACGATCAGTCAGGTATAGTGGTCCTTTCTGCAAACTCAGTTTTGTGGGCCAGGAAACCAAATGTAGCATTAAAAAAAAACATAGGGCAACTCTCCATATATTTTCATGAACTGAGTTCACAAAGCTGTTAATGGCAGTATGGCAATTTTAATATATGTGGACTTAGAATTCCCAAGCCAGCCAGCAAGCAGGCAATGCCATAAAAAGGAGTCCTGTTTGCTGCTGTAATTTAGGGTATCACTAAACTATTTCAGTTTCAGCTTCCATCATCTCCAGGGAGCCTTTATACGCAAACCGCATTGAAACATTGCCACTAGTGACCTCATGTGGCAAAAAGGAGAAAGCCAGATGGGCCACGTCTGTTCCTATTTTGATCTGCAGACCTTTTCCTTGTCCTTCCACCAAAATGTCCCTTTAGTGTAATTTACATATACTTCTTATGCAGAAGCATTTTTCCCTTTTAAAACTTCAACCTGCCATATGAATGGAGTAACTGAAATTGAACATGGAAAAACCTTGATTCTCCATTTGTCCTGAATTAATTTGCTGTGATGCAAGAGGAGACATATAAAATTTGTTTCTGTTCTTTGAGGAAAAAATTCAAAACAAATGACAGAAAGCACTACACATTTTCAGCCTCTATGTACATGCTACAAGAAGCACATAAGCAAGTCTCATTCACAAAGTCTCAGCCTGACTAGTTCACTGTAGATCTTTTGTCACTGAGTTTTGAAAGGATAATAGTTGGACTGAATATATTTAGAAAACTGCCCATAATTAGAAACCCTAATTAAGTCAAGACAGGGAGCTGATGACTACCAAATGGAGGAAAAGGAAATTCAAGAGTTTTTGTTAAAATTTGTCTGAAAGTTATTGATTGACAAATAACCTGGTCAGTCATGGTTGGATGAAATTGATGCAATCCTCAAAAAGAAAGAGCTGACACATTTAAGAAGTAGAAGTAATACATGAATTCGTATATGGTGGAAGCAAAGACAGAAAGATATAAAAAGATATCGAGTTGGTATAAACTAATTTTAGACATATTTTTTCTTTCCTTACCATGTGACTTTAATTACCTTGGTTTACTATTTTTTTTATCCTTTTCCTGCATTTGGTACAATACTGCTCACCCAAAAAAGAATACATTGATGGTTATCTATGCATGCATGTATAACTTAAGAAAAAGGACCTTAAATTTTAAAAAAGGGGAGAGAATAAGTCAACAGCATGAAGAGACATGAAGAAAGTAATTTTGGGGAAAATGACAAGTACATGAAATTCCATTTATTGTACATGGAGTATGTATTATCCATAAAAATGAAATATACATGCTTTGGAAGACTGAAAGGAGATACTAAAAAAAGGGAAAGCTATCTTACCTGTAGAAAGCAACAGATTCAGCATTCACCCGCAGTTGCATATGCTTAAACCTGTTGGAAAGAAGGAAAACATTTTCTTCAGGGTGTGGCAATGAAGCAATCAGAATTTCAGAAAAGCCCCCTTCATAATTATCCTACAACATAATGTTACAGATCTGTCAGAAGGATAGGGGTAGGTACAAGGATTGTGCAGCATCTTAGCAAGAGGCATGAAAATATTAATAAAATCTCTGACCTCTCTTTTATTTCTTAGTCACTTGAATTGGTACCTCACCTCCAAACAGTCTTATTTCAAGAACTGTTCAACATGTTAATATATATGCAAACAGCATCACAAGTCATTTTAGATGTGAACCAATTAATAAGATCTGCTCAATATATTCACCTGAAATCACCTTCAAGCTTTTCCTGGTGCACCAGTTTTGAAATAATGGGACTCATTAGGAACTTGTTAACAATAATCCCAATGATAAAATAGCCAAAGATGCTTAGAGGACCCAGCCAACCAGTGCTAAAAGAGAGAAATGCAGAGAAGTTAGCAAATCTATTGGTAGGAAGGTTATTTTTAAATATTGTAAATGGGCAGCAGCTATAAGTATCACAGTTGTTACACTAACCATTTACAGGTGGTCTTCAGTTAATGATTACTTGTTCATTGACTGTTCAAACTTGCAACTGATCCTCAAAGTTTGGGCCATCACAGCACCCTGTGGTCCCATGATCACGATTCTAATGCTTGGTAACCAGTTCAGATTTCCAATCATCACAGTGTCCTGTAGTCATGTAACTGCAGTTTGCAACATTCCCTGCCAATTTCCACAACAAATTCCATGGGAAAGAATGCAGGAAGTTGGAAGTTGCAATCACATGAAGTCCTCATTTAATGGTTTCAGTGATTTGCTTAATGATAAACAGGGATTATCAGAACTACTGTAGCTAAGCAGTGCAATCATGTGACATCAAAATTTATGTCTACATTGCTCAGCAATGAAAATTCTGGTCCCAAAGAGCATTATAAATACTGTATGGTAGGGTAGTGGCTGTCCAAATGAATTACGATTCACGGCTAACGTGGTCATTGAAGAGAAACTGGGTGTTCAGCAACAACAATCTTCCTAACATCAATATATGGCATAGCAAATGCTGCCCCCCCTTATTTTAAACCAGGATAATTTCTAATGAATTCATGGAATCTGTGCCAATTTGAAGCATATTTAATTACTTGCTACACTCCCTGCCTTATGATCTAATTGAGGTTTGCTAGTAGTAATTCTCCTTTCAAAAGTATTAGAAGATTGATCTTGAGCTGGCAATATTAAATAGATTAAATACCATTAAGTGAAGTTGAAATATTACTTTGTCGAGTTCTACCAAACCAAGACTCTCCCAAGTACACAATTGTATTATTTTGAAAACTTTTCTCATCCCATTTGTCCAAAAGAAGCAAATGATGGTCAGAATATTTTAGTATCTGATGCTGAAAATTAATTAAAGTTATTTCCCCCATGGCATTAAAAATACAATAATATTAAATAAAATAGGATTTTGCTGACTTTTCATAGTATCATATAAATCTACTGTGTGAAAAAATCTAATGTCACCTGAACCTGTGAGATGCTTACCCAAATTCATCCCTTTCAACTGTATTTTGAAACATTGCAGCACTTGAGCATTATTGCAATGTGGTTTCAACTATCCAAGAAGATGAGTGGCTCTCTGGATTAGCGGATGTTGACAAATGCTCTTTGCAAGGCATTTTGTATAATTGCCAATTAATTTTTTGTCCCTAAGCTAGAAGCACCAAGTGAGAGCTTCCATCCCACTCTTTCTCATTCCCTTCTAATCTGCCATTTGTTATTCACTGAGTTGTAAACATATCCTATCTGAAGACATGCTGTAGGCAAAAATAGCATTTTGAAAAATTGTTGGACATAAGCATAGAGAACCAGCCAGAATATCATAAACACATCAGTCCTGGAAACAATGTAAGTCTTTTAAATTGACAAGAAACATACGCTACTTGCTCTTTCCAGTCCTTCTCCTTTCCTCCCACACAATCTATGTATAAAACACCATCTTTAATACTATCCTTCCCACATAATTTGTATTTGTATCTTAAACTCCTTATCCACCAGATCAACCTTTTCCAGTAGAGTTTTGATGGTCTCCAGCTCTATCTTGTAGCCATCTTCTCTGTTTTCTCTTCCATTGTAACCCTGAAGGTTACAAGATAGAGTTGGAGACTATCAAAACTCTACTGGAAAAGGTTGGTCTGGTACATTAGGAGTTTAAGGTAAGAGCTGTGGTGGTGCAGTGGTTAGAATGCAGTATTGCGGGCTAATTCTGCCGACTGTCAGGAGTTCAATCCTTACTGGCTCAGGGTTGACTCTGTCTTCCATCCTTCTGAGGTCGGTAAAATGAGGACTCAGATTGTTGGGGGCAATATGCTGACTCTGTAAACCATTTAAAGAGGGCTCTAAAGCACTGTGAAGCATTATACAAGTCTAAGTGCTATTGCTATTGCTATTTTTTCCTGAGATCCCAGGGTTCCCCATTCTGGGTACTGTCCAGACGTGTGACCCAAAAAATTCCAATCAGCATTGTCCCTTTATCAGAGTTTAAATCCCCTCATTTCAAGGATATGCAAGATGGGAGGGATTATTTAGTTTTAGAACATTTTCACCCCCTCCATGCTACTATCACTAAGTGAGTGGATAATATTATAACCTATTTGAACATGACCAGTTTGATTTACAAGCCATTCCCAACCCACTGTAATCCTAGCCTTGCTTTTCTCTGCTTTATCTTGACCAAATGAAGATTGCAATGGCTTTCAGATGCAATCTATCACTGTTGAACCACTGTGAACTGTGAGCTGGTATGCAAGACCCATATATCTGTAATGAACCAGAGGAGAAACACACTAGAGTACATGTTTCAGTCAAGGGGACACATGATAAAAGGGGAGAAAAGATGGTTATTTGAGGTTGCAGAACAGCCACAAGAGTGTAGGTGAACTTGTTTGTTCACTTTGCTGCTTGCAACGAGTCAATCCTAGACTGCAGTCAGGATCCTGCAACTATCAGGGGGTATCTAGTAGCTAGTGCAGGGGAAAAAATCCCAGCATGACAGGACTCACTGCAAGCCCGCTCTTCATTACAGGAATCACTTTCCTACCTGTAAAAACATTGATAGGTGTAATAAACAAGGGTGAAGGGCGAGATGATCAGCTTACTGGCCATGGAACTCAGCTGTTTGCAGAATCTTTCTACATCTTGACTGATTCTCTGGTCTCTAAACAATTGTGCAATACAGAGAGATATTAGCTTGATATGTACCACTGTGATAAGAACAGCAAAGGAGAAAAGTTAATGTCTTATGAACAAAAAGGTTCATTCACTATTCCAGGTGCTTTAAATATTTGCACCAGGCAAACCAGTACAGGTAGTCCTTGATTTACAACCATTTGATTAGTGACCATTACAATGGCACTGATAAAAGTGACTTAAGATCAGTTTTCACAGAAATGACTATTGCAGCATCCCATGGTTAGATGATCAAAATTCGGGCACTTGGCAACAGGCATGTATTTATGACAACTGCAGTGTCCACGTGTGATCACTATTTGTAACCTTCACAGCCAGCTTCTGAAAAGTACAGTCAATGAGGGAAGCCAGATTCTCTTAATGCCCTCATGATTTACTTAACACTGTAGTGATTTGCTTAATGAAAAAAGGGGCAAAAATGGGGCAAAATTCACTTAACAATTATCTTGATTTAGCAATGGAAATTTTGGGCTCAGTTGTGGTCATAAGTTGAGGACAATCTTATTGAGTAAGAACATGCTGGTGTCTGTTAAAAGCTGGAATGACATCAACTGCCCCATCATAGATGATTGTGTGGTAGGATCAAATATTGCAAAAAAAAAAAAACCAAGGTTTTTTTCTGATTTGGTTTGTTCTATAAGAATTCAGCTTCATAGTTTGCAATCTTTGGTTTATGGCTTACTATGCTGTGAAAACCCAGCCACTAAAGCTGATTCTACAAACCATAACTTTGAATGGCTGGAAATAGTGACTCAGAGGGCCATAACTATCTCAAGAGCACCACTTCAGCAAATGATACCTTTTAGGAAATTCTCTTTTCTCTTTCCTTAGATATTGCAGAGTCTTCCAATAAATTATTTTTATAGCTTCATGAGCAGGATTTGGGGCAGAAAGCAATCTTCCCTGGCAGAAGCCAATTATAAAGGAAATAAGTTTTTTCCTGATTTCTATTGTTTTAATGTTTATTCTTTTAACTTCTGATCAACTGCTCAGATAACGTATATCAAAAATGAACTGATGAAGCTCCAACTCATGTACAAAAAAGTTTTAAGAAGGTAGAAAAAAATATGTTCTAAATTCTAACCAGTTTATTGCAGTCAGCATTATTTCTAGGAAGTGAAACAAAAATCTGGATATTCATCATTTCATTTGTACTGTTTTAGAAATGCATCCACAGCAAAATTAGATTTGGCATGATAAATTGGTAATGGATTTTCACAACAAACTCTTCTTATATAATTGCAGTTATAAATATCACAGTTTTTTTAAAACAGCAATTAACTAATGGAACATTTATATGGATAGTACAGAAGTATAATTAAAAAGATTATCTTATGTTATTCTCGTAAGACTTTTCAACAGCTTCCCATTTTTTTCTATTATAAACTATTTTCTATTCTTATTTTATAACAAAAAACAATGTTTTAAACTATTTTTTGCTGAGTCTTGAGCTATATTCTAATATTCCCCTAATTAAGAGAAATGTGATTTATTTGATAAAACTGGTTTAGCTATTTCAAATAAAGGCCTGGTATAGTTGTAGTATTCCCTTTGCAACCTTACCATTAATGATGTCTTAGATGTCATTAACAAAATTACCTAACTACATGTTTAGTTGCTCTTTGCTATCCAATTCCAATATTATGGACAAGTCTTGTTGCAAATATACCGGTATGTGTTCAGCTAGATTTATGCCCATTTATCTGTGATGAAACATACTTCTGAACAGACATGCTTTAGATTAAAACAGAAATGTACATCCACAGTTACTTTTTTTAAGTTATATATCAACATTATTATTCTCTTAGTTTCTGCATCCAGTTCAAAGTGGTAATGATCACTCATGCTCCTGCACTATTCCATGTGGCACTGCTTTCCAAAATGACTCCACTCAGCTGGTCTTTTCATCCTGAGGGGACCTGCTGAAAATCCCTTTTCTGATAAGACTGTATATACTGTGGGACCAGCTTCCTTGGAGATTCAAGCAATTCCTTCCTTCCATTCTAGAAGATCATTAAGAACTTCCTATTCCATCAGGATTTCAGCTCTAGTTGATTGGTTATGGGTGTCTATCTATACAGTTGTCTTTTTGTATTTTGTGTTGTTGTTATATTATTTTTTCTCAGGTTTTTCTTTGTTTTACACCAGTGGTTCTTAACCTGGGTGATATTGCCCCCAGGGGGCAATTTCATTTTTCAGGGGGGTGATGGAACGAAAAGGGGCAACGTGGGGGCGAAGGAACAAAAAGGGGGCGATATGGGGGCGATGGAGCGAGAAGTTTTGGGGACACTTTTGAGACTTTTTCGTACAGTGAATCGCTGTATATCTGTCGTAAAAAACATCAGATCGCTCGCTATTAGTGGATTGAATTGTGTTTTCAAATGTTCCTCCAGCTAGCTTCAGTACAGAACGCCGTACATATGTGAATACGCATCATTTATCTTCATGCGCGTTGCGCAGCAGCCTCTACCCATACAGTGGCATGCCATTGGCCAGAATATGGGAGATATGGGAAAAAGACTAGAAATAAATTATTTGCATCGATATGTCCTGATGACAATTTTAAAGAAAACAAAAAAAGTGTTTGCAAAAATTGAAGAATTATTTCCTATGTTGTGATTGAGAGGTTATGTTGGGGAGGGGGGCGATGACAACTTCCTCATTGGCTCAAGGGGGCGATTTGTTCAAAAAGGTTAAGAACCACTGTTCTACACCACCCAGAGCAAAGTGAAGGAACAGTTAATAAATATGGTAAATAAATAAATGCCAGAAACCAAACCTATTCTGCAGACTTGCTTAATGACCACAACACCTTATGACCAAAATTCCAATTAACTGTGATTGTTAAGTTGAGAACCCTGTATTTATCAAGGAGAGGAGAGGCGGTCTTGGAAATAAAATATTATGCTAATAAGTGTTGCTTTACAGTATTCCAACTTCCCATTTTGTTTGAGTTAAAAGAAAATTTAAAAAGGAAAAAGGAGGATCTGCAGAGACCCTACTGGTAATGGGTGTGCTGGTACTGGTACTTCTGGGCATCAGGCTGGAGACTATACCCACACAATTTCTCTCCAACGGTGTATTCCCTTTAGCTCAGGGGTGTTAAACTGCTGGCCCGCGCCCACCCCATTGCCGGCAATGGCGAAAAAGCTCCGATACATCACGCAATGTCACGTCACGTTGTGACTTTGACATGCCTGCTTTAGCTGGTAAACCGGACTATAGTCCACAAAATTTTAACACATATGCTACTCTGAGCTAATATTTAAGGTTCATAGAACTTTTTGTTTTATTTAATATCATCTATTTTTAAAATCAGAAACCTAGTTTAACGCAGAATTCTTTAATTCTGAATGCAATTACCTCAGTGTTAATATAGTTATTATAATAGCTCAAACATTCTATCAAGGAAGTACATAGAAATTACTGTCTGAAGGCAAAACTTCCAAAATTTGCAATATGACTCCCATTAACAAAATTTTCATTTGAGCAAAACAGCAATTTGACTGGTGCATTTCAGATTGAAATGTACTATAGTACTAGTATACAGCAACCCCTAGTGGGTGACTTAAAATTAAACAAACTCCCGGTCACTATGAATAAGTGTCTATGGACACCGAGATGACCTGGAATAAAGCCTAGAGTACAAACATGCTACAACAATAGGTAGAACCATTCTGAAAATGATCAGCCACTTACGGATTATCAATTTCCTCATGTAGAACATTCAGAGTATAATACTCCTGGCCCTGAAAATAGCAGCCATGAAGGTATTCAGTGAGAGTCTTTCTCCAGCTGACATACATTAGATTGCAGATAAACTGGTCTAAACTCTTCAGCTAACAGAGAGATAGACAGAGAGAAAGAGAGCGCTGAAAATCAAACATGGGGAGATACAACATTCAAAAGGAACATTTCGGACATTTGGTGAGCAAATAGCCACATTTTTTGAAGCAGACTGTCAAGATTATTTTTGTTATTTCCAATCCAATGGACCGTTGGAAAGAAATTATGTAAAGGAGTTGGGATTTCAGCTGTCTGTTGATTAGCACACTTCTAAAAATGAATAGACAGAAGCAAATTTGGGAGACGGGGAGAAACCGGTAAAAGAAAAATCAAGTTTTAAAAACTGGACATATACAGCCAGGGTTGTGGAGAAAAACTATCCAGAAAAATCTCCCCACTGGATATTTGTGCAGAAAAGCAGATGGACACAGGTCCTCCTCAACCCAAAAATCATATGACAGACAGCAGAACATATAAAGCCCATCTCATGGCTTTTGGTACATGCATAGATATATGTGTAAGGCCCTGGCTAGTAAAAGTGTAGGAAAAAATATTAGAAGCCATGCTCTGTGTAGTTTACTTCCCTTGTTTTAGAAGTCAGTTACGACTTATGAAACTCCAACCTTAGTAACTTTTCTGAGTAATTTAAAAGCAAAATACAAATGTACACTTTGGGACCCTATAATTCTTTCCAAAAGTTGTGGAAAGAGTCTTTGAACTTTGAGGTAGGCTAAAATTGATTTGAACATTGTTGTTGATCCATCTTTTTTTTCTTAACAAAGGATAAGTAGCATAAGGAATATTTTTTAATTTCTTAATGGAGAGGCAACTGGTTTTTTTGGTCAACTCGCAACATGTCAGATTCAATCTGCTGCATAGTACAGAACAAATGCAGCCATATTTTCATATATTCTCACTTTCAGGTTAATGTATATAAGGAGTTATATAAAGCTGAAAACAACACAACCCAGGAGAAACTGATAACAGTTTGGATCTGTACATATCTATGTCTGCTCCTGTTCAGATATACTACTCTCATTCTCTTCCTTTTTTGGTAGGTTGGCCACTGCAATATAACATATTAGAGTGCAGGGTTGCGATTTTTAATATATATATATATATTTATACCAGTTTGCATGCCATCTAGCACTAGACTCTATACTAACAATTCATGTTACCTCTGACCACAGATATGTACCTTTCACACATCATTCAAGTGATCCAACAGTACAAAATATACGTGCAATATATGACAGATCACAAGAAGAGAGACTGACTGTCATGGGAGAAGCTCAAGGCAACTGATTTGCAATATGTACTTTGCTTGTACAGCAGAGCAATTTTCATTATTGCCAGTGGTCTAGATTAAGTAGATATTAATATGGAAAAATGATTTATTTTGTAGTGACCTTTCATCTATCAACATATTGAAATAATCAACTGTGTTATGCTGTCTGAGATTTAGGATGAACATTTGGAGAGTTTGGAGAGTAAGCCTATATGAGAGGGACGATACAAAGGACCACCATATCTGAGCTGCAAAAATCTGGGCAGTAAGTATACATACATTTCTCTACTGCTATCTAGTGGTCATCTGGCTTTCTGTAGCCTATGGATGTTAGGCCTTATGTGTGTTCTAGTTTGTTCGCTTTTTTTTACTAAATTTTATTATTTTATAAATGAAATTAACAGACCTTCCACTCCTATAGCAACGATAATAAAAAGTAGTAAACTGTCAAAGGAACAGAAGATCCACGTAATGTTCCAATGAAAAATATTAATATATACCAAACTGAATTTTTAACTTGTCATTGAATTTAATTATATAAAAGCATAAATATTCCATTTTCTCATTCCTGCAATATATAGACATTTCAAAGACTGACAGAGCACCCATCTCTTGAAACCATTTTTTACCATCTAAAATAAGACTTCCCAATCTTCCCCTACCCTTATAATAAAAAAAATTCTCTTACCAAAGAGTTGAGTACAATGAGAATCAGAGCAACTGCGGTCACCCTATTGAACTCATAAAGATCTTTCCTTCCCAGAACTGAGAAATATTGACTGGGAATCAGTCCCACCTGGTAAATGATCAGTTGAGCTAGGAGAGATAAGAGAAATATTTTTAAAAGCATAAGCTCCAAAGGTATATCAATAAAAAGAGAGAATAATCCTGCATTATGGCAAAAAGAAACATACAAAATGATTTGTCTTAGAAAATTGTTTGCTTACTCAACAAAGCAACTACAAGTAAGGTTAGAAACATCAGCACATTCTTAGAGGTGAAGGTAGGGAATAAAACTGTTTGGATCTTTAGGAATCGGTGGAGAAATTGACGATCCAGCTGGGGCCTAGGAGAAAGATAAAAAGACAAGAAAAGTTATAAAGCTGAACTGCTAGTATGGAAATGTCACTGCCACACTGCTAAGCCCCCCATTCCACTCAGCTTATGATTAAGCTGACTGAAATTTGGGGAAAAAAAGTCTAACTAGAACAATAATAGAAGGGTCCCAAATATTTTGGCAACTATGAGGCCAATGGGACTAATGTCTAAAGTTTATTTCAACATTGGGCACAGAATATGTAGAATAGCTGCACTTTTGTTTCAGATGTACATTATACAGAACACTATCTGCAAACCAAACAGCTGCCACAAAGACCAAACATTTGGCCATCTTGGGCAAAACTCACTTAACTGCCTTGCTTAGCAATGAAAATTGTGTGCTCAGTTGTGGTTGTAAGTTGAGGACTATAGATATTGGCTATGAGTACTCATGTCTTCCTTATTTGCTGCTTAGTTTGCTATAATTTGCTTTACATAGGATTGCCCTTGAAGAAGATTTGGAAGATGTAACATGAAATGCCTTCATGTTGACCCAGAATGCACAGTTTTAAGTAGGGTTTTTGAAAATACAAGAACTTGATGAGGTTCAGTGGAAAACAGTGGAAAAGTCCACTACACATAATTTTCTATCACTAGAGTTTTGCCTGTTGATTATAAAAGATTGGTGATTTTTTTTCTACAGCCTGAAAAACAACAACAACAACTGCTTGTAGAAGAATAACACCAATTTCCGCAGTGAACTTCCAAATCCACTTCATGATGTTGTTTATTACTTATCAAGGTCTTAATGGCTTGGGCCTTGTTGTGTATGAGACTTTCTGCTCCAGGCAGAATCTCCTTTTGCAATTCATTCTGCACAGAAGGGGGCATTCTGTGGATCTCTCCACCTCCCTCACCTAATTTTGGAATATGAATTGGAAACTGGAAACAGTCACAACTCTTGGCTTCTGCAATAGCCTGCCTCTCTGCAGGTCAGGTTGACCCTTTCCTATAATCTTTCTGGACCAACAGCTCATGAATGAAGGCTGGTTGTCCAGGCATGAGATGATGTTTCTAATCTGTATTATATTATATTATATTATATTATATTATATTATATTATATTATATTAATTATAAATCAATGATTTTCAAATTTGGCAACTTCTAAGATTCAATTTTCAGAATTCCCCAACTAGCATGCTGATTGGGGAATTCTGGGAGTTGAAGTCTGCACATCTTAGAATCATAGGGCTAGAAGGAACCTTGGAGGTCTCCTAGTCCAACCCCCTGCCTCTAGTCCCCTTATCATCTTCGTTGCTCTTCTTTGCACTCTTTTTTTGAGAGTCTTAACATTTTTTTTTTTATCATGGCAACCAGAACTGGATACATTATTCCAAGTGTGGCCTCACTAATGCAGTATAGAGCTGTATTATTACTTTTCATGAACTTGATGCTATCCTTCTGTTGATGCAGCCTAGGACTGCATTGGCTCTTTTTTCAGCTGCAGAACACTGTTGGCTCCTACTTAAGTGATAGCCCACCAGGACACTAAGATTCCTCTCACAGTTACTACAGTTAAGCCATATACTGCCTATTCTATACCTGCACATTTGGTTTTTCCTGCTTAGGTGCAGGACCTGGTTTTTCTCACCACAGAACTGCATCTTGTTGGATAGGACCCAATGCTCAAGTCTTTCAAGATCCTTCTGAATCTTGAGTCTGTGTTCCAAAGTGCTGATTTGCTGATTTGCAAATTTGATGAGTTCCCCTTCTATCCCTTCCTCTAGATCATTTATGAAGATGTTGAAGAGAACTGGCCCAAGACAGAACTTTGAGGTATCCCACTGCTTACTTCCCTCCATGTAGATCAGCGTTCTCAACCTATGGGTCGCGACCCCATTTGGGGTCGAACGACCATTTTACGGTGGTCGCCAAACAACGCGATCTGCCATTTCCCCCCCCAGGGGGGCGCCGCCGCGCATGCGTGGCGCGTCCATGTGACCGGGGGTCGCCGTATAAAAAGGTTGAGAACCGCTGATGTAGATGCAGTTCCATTAAGAACTGCATGCTGAATGTGGGCAGTCAACCAACTGCAAATTCATCTGGTGGTGATGCTGTCTATCCCACATTGTTCTATCTTACCAAGAAATAGGCTGTGATCTACTTTTTCAAATGCCTTGGTTTAGTCCAAGTAAACTATATCAACAGCACTTCCCTGATCCACCAATTTAGTCACTTTATCAAAGAAGGCAACTTAAAGTTGCCAAGTTGGAAAAACACTGAATTATATGAATAGGCAGCATGTAACAACTTATACATACCTATCATGACATTCCCTTTTGAAGTATGTAGTGTTATATGAAACTCAGAAAAAGATTACAGTGTTTCTTAAGGCTAACCCTAAACCTACTATTTTCTTTGCTTTTTCTGAACTGTAGTGCCTAGTACTGAAACCCAGCATTGCTTCTTACCCACCCTGCTCGGCCCCGGAATCCTGACAATAGCCGTCTCCGTTCATAAGGAATTCCCACGCAGTGGCTCCCTTTTCCGTACTCGATTGTGGACTATTTAAAGCACTTACCGGATAGTTTTCCTAGTTGTTTTCCCTGGAGCCATGAATGAACTGCCCTTCCTTGCAAAAAGAAAAAGGAAAAAAAAAAGCTTCCCAGAGTCCACTCGGGATCGCGCTAGTAGAAGACTTGCAAGTCTTCCGTCCCTTCAAGGCTCTTGATTCTAGTCCCACCCCAAACAGGGATTTTGATGAGTATTCATTATTCCTTTAGATTATTCATTAGCGAGTCAGAAAGAGCGACTATAGAGGGTCCATCATTGAGAAAATGAGTTGTGAGCAGGCGGCTATTAAAAGCTACAGAAAAAGACAGCTGCAATGGCCAAGTATCCGAATCCGCGTCATTTTAGTGGGAATAACCAGAGAAACTACAGCATTCTACCGAAGCAAATCTGATTTTCTACCTGTATCGCTAAAAGCAATGATTTCCGACCGTCTTCATGGATTTAACATATACTTCCGGTCCCGGATTACAGCTCGAGTTCTCCGAGAATTGAAGAGTGGCGGAAATGCTTCAGTTAGCAGTGCTGGAATGATGAAACACATGCCCTGAAGTATAGTCCACAAAAACCTATGTAAACATAAATATTTGTCTTTTTTTTTCTTTATTGCAATAGACTAGTACAGTTACTTCCTCCGAAAATTAGCGTCAGGAAAAACTGGAACCGAATTTTCAAAATAAATGTTCATTAATGAACAAACAAAGAAATAAACCATCGGTTGATTTTAACTTCGTGATTTTCTTCTCCTTTTCCGCACGATTATGACAAAAAGTTCCCAAACTTCCTTAATTCCACTAACCGAAATCAACGAAGAAGCATATTTTCTGCAGCAGCATCTTTTTTTTTGTTCTGATAAAGACCAAACTACTAATAAAGAGTTGGAGTTCTGATTTTTTTTTTACACAAGTTAGAAACTATACAGTTAGAAAAGATATAAATAGCAAACTTTTAGTGTTCTTTCACCAAGTCTCATGTATTTCTACCTCTCTTGCCCCTCATATGGAAGATATTTTCCATCCTAAAGGGAACCGGAAATTAGACTCCTGCAAGTCATAGATATAGAGGTCTGTTTTCAGAGGGAAGGAAGTTAGAGCTCCTTCTACCGGACTAATTGTGTAAGGACAGTGTGAAACAAAATCTAAGATCCAAACTTTTTCATTTATTTTGTAGACGTTTAACGGTGTAGTGTTTTCTTACATAAGAACTTAATAACTTTGTTGAATAAGATTAAACCCCCGTTCTATGGCTCTTAGTGGCTAGCGAGATTCGTGGACAGGAGGGCAATGCTCGCTTCCATAGATATAATAACACGATAGATTCAGATGAGTAGAAATTAGCCTAGCTTTAACTTATACCTATGTCAACCCTCCAGTTTGAGGGTCTGGTGGCTTATTAGCTTATTAATAAGTAATTAGAGGCTTTTGTAATTTATGAATTAACTTTAGCCAAAGTTATGTGCCTTTACCTGATAGAAGTGACACTTCTTTAAGGAGGGGAGGAGGGGACGGCAAAAGCTAGAATGCTTGACTACAAACACTCCACAGGTAGACCACAAACATTTCTTATATAGCCTAGTTAACAGGTTGTGGCTTTGATGCTTGGCTAGGATATTTTGAACTGTCAAGGAAGGTGACATGATATTTAGCTTAAGCAGTAGTTAGGGGTGTCTGGACAAGGGTCTTAGAGGTAAGCAAAGTTTATCATTAACATAGAGCTAATCAATTTATATGATAAAGAAGCAAAATTAAATAATGAAGTATTATGGATGACTTTGCTTTGTGCGCATGTGTAACTATTGTGTAACTTTGTAATTAATCAGCAATTCTCTTATTTCCTGTAATAAATTGTATAAAAATGGCTGTCCTTGATTTCGGTGCTCTCCTTGGGTATGAAAGCCAGAGGCATCCTCTTCTGTACAGAAAGAAAAGAGTTTTGTCTTTCATTGATTCTGCGTAGACATTGGCTTCCTCAGACTGGGTTCCTGTACTTAAGACAGCTTTCTGGCCAACAATAGCAGCTGCTATTTAAGCTATTTAAACCAGTAAATCTAGAGCAGGGGTGTCAAACTCGCTGCATCATGTGACGTGTCGTGGCATATCGTGACTTTTTTCCCCTTGCAGGAGCTGGGGTGGATGCAGCTTCCGTATGATGCATCCAGCCTGCTGGCCAGCAGTTTGACACTCCTGCTCTAGAGGTAGTACTCTAGCCATCAAGCCCACAATACAACCTGAAATACTTTATCCTTGATCATATTAGATAAGGATCATTTCACAAGGAGAATAATAATACCATTAAAGAAAAATGTGCATAGTTGATGTCTGCTTTATTCTCTCTATATAGCATGTGGAGTATTTTGAAGAGAAAAGGAGTATAACAAACCACTACTTACATATCATTTTTACTTGTGTTTCTAGGCCTCCAGCCTCTTCTGGTGTTTAGAATTAAATTCTCCAGACTTTCGTTTTTGTGTGGTAGCAACTGGTCGCGGGCTTGCTGATTCTCTGCGCCCCTGTGGCTAATTTCGCCCTGCCAGGGGACCCTAAATGGATCTAAGTCACCCTGGAGAGGCGACACAGAAAGAAGGGTGCTCCAGCAATTCTGGAATGGTGGCGGCCGTGCTGTTCAACTTGGGGAAAGCCTTCTAACCTGACAGGAGAAAGGTTGGCCATATTGCATCTTCCAGCCCAAGCTACTTGCAACCAAAGTCCAAAAGCACTAACCAACACAACTATGAACAGTGTGCTTGAAACTGGGTGAGGAATTTGATCTTCTCTTTTCTATTTTACATTTAATTTCCTGGAAAAGATCCCCAAGAAGCAAAATACCTCCAAAAGGGAAGGAGGGGGATTTCCACCCCACCCTTATACTAACAGAAGCTGCAAATTAATCTTTTTAATTTATATATGGAAGTGAAATAAATATAAAACCTGAAACTTAAAACTTAAACTTGGATAAATCTAAAATTGTTTTAATGGTTAAGACTCTCATTTCAGAGATAATTATTCATTTTGGAAACTGAAAAACAAATAATTGCTGACATCTAGTGGCAGATGAAGACTATGACAGCTATGACTTTAATATAAGACTTGGCAAAATCTGGGAAAAGCTAATCTATGTCTGTGACCTTCAAAGCTTTAACAATAAAGAACAGCTGTGACAAAAAAGACAATAATCTGGGCTGTAGAAAAAGAGAATTATAAATTTCAGAAAAAAAAGTCTTTTTTTGAACTATTTGGATTACAAATATCTACCTAATTGGGACTCTAAAGCTATTTACAGAGAAAAGAAAGGAAGAGGAAAACTCAAATTCTTGGCTATTATGGATCAGAGACATGTAGAAAGAACATATCAAGAAAACATAAATATGTCACAGGAGGAGATATATAGTATACTGCAACTAATTCAAACAACAATGACTTTAAACCACAAAGAAATCCAAAGCAACTTCGAAAATATATATATATATAAATCTATTTCCAAGTTAACTCTACAATAAAAAAATTCCCAGAAAACAACAACAAAGAAGGAGCAGATAAAACAGGTAAATGTATATAGAATTGATAACAGAGACTTAAAGATGGAACTTAACAAAACAAGGAAACATGATTTAATCCTAGTGGAAAAAAATTCACAAAAATTGGAAAAAACAACTTATCCCTTAAGACTACAAAATAAATCTGAGGACAAGAAAACAGATTGGATAAAATGGACTGTAGAGATGTCAGGAACATTGGAGAGAAAGGAAATGATAAGAGAAGCAGAGAAAAAGAAAAAGGTTTTCAACAAACATGGAAAGGCAGAAGTCCTATACAAAGACACTTCTGATTTACTTTTTATATCCACAGGAACATTTATGAACATGTGGAAAAACTTTTTGATTCAGCAAAATACATTGATTAAGAAAGACACTGGGCAAAATAAAAATACTAAAGTGGAAACTAAGAAAATAGATGATGGGATTTACCAGAGAGAATACTTAAAAAAGAAACATTTGTTTGAATACGGTTAAAAAATAGAAAAATTTTGGAATATATATGTCACTCTAAGAGGGATGAATTCTCTAAATATAATATAGTATACTTTTTTCCCCTTATTTGTTCTCTTTCTTGATATGAGAAATATAAAAAAGTTGAAATGACTTAGATAAAGGAAATGTTTTAGATATTTAAATGTGATTGAATTTAAGAAAATTATAATGGATAAAAATGTTTTGAATAGAGGTAAAGGACTAGATGACTAGATGTATTAAATGGAATATTTAAAGATTAAACATATTTTAATTATGGTTAAAAAGAATAAGAAATTTAAGAAATAAATACATATTAGTTTAGGAGGGATATATATTTTAAGTAGTATGTTATTTTTTATGCTTCTTTACTCTTGCTTTTCTTTCTTTTTTTACTGTTTTATCTATTTTTAAGAAATGTAAAAGTGTGACATGGTTCATATGGAAAAATAGAGTTAAATTCTTAAATATAATTAATTTTTGAGAAAATCTTAACCAGTAAAAATATCTAGAATTTGGTGGGAGAAACAAATTAAAATAAGGACTGTAACAGGATCTATGATAAGGCAACCAGAATGATTGGATAGAAAAGAAATATTATATTGATGTGATTGTTATTTTTAGGACTACTGGGAAAAAATTATATTTTTAATTGTTATGTATCAAAACAATAAGAATTGTATTAACTCAATGTTTGCAAAAGAGGATATTTTGGGAAAAGAGGAAAGCAACTAAAACTGTGGATTATGGATTATAGAAATCAATTGTTAGTGATTGTTTTACAAATGTAACCCAGACAACATACTGTTCACCAATTATTAAGTGATTTATGTTTTTTTAAAAAAACAATAAAATATATTACAAAAAAAGAAGTAAATTCTCCACTAGTGTAAGGTCAAAACAAAAACATGGTCTCCTATATTCTCTGAGAATTGGGTTTTGTATTTATAGTTATTGGCACATTATGAGTCCTGGCATACTGATAAACACCTAGTAAAAGTATTCAGTTGAAAGTAAATTCCCAGCAATATGCAGGATTGAGTGATTTCCTCACCTCTTGGCAAGGTTTCCTCCCTGAGGCTCTGCTGCCCCCACCCTGTCCATACTTCTTTTGACACAGCTATGCCAATGAACACTTCTGATGTTTTCTAATGCAGAGCTGCATACTCTGGGCTTCATGCTGTACTGGATCACACAAACAATGAAGGACTTTCCCTGCTGGGGGAAGCTGACATATCTCTATTTATTCCAGCAAACAATCTAAGAATAAAATTGATAAATACTGTCCATCCATTTAGGCTCTGAAGCTGCATTAACACATCTGGAACAAGAGGTGTGAAAGGTTGTACTTCAGAATTACAAAAAGTGCAGCCTAACCAGCATCATTTCTATGATAACCAGAGTGGAGCATTTTTTGTTTGTTTGTTTTTGGCTTGTTTTAAATTTTGTTTTGAGTTCTGGAGGCAATTGAGCTTCTTAAAATTCCTGAAACTGTCTAAAACTGAGTTCTGCCTCAGACACTTTTAAAATATGGCTGTCAAAATAACACGAAAAACCTTCAGCACACCCAAAGAAATGTAAAATGCTCATGCCTGTTCTAGTAAATAATACTTAGCACACTTTTAACAAACTAGACTTATTTGTCTTGATCTGAATTGTAGAGGATTCCAAAACAGTGAGGCTAGATCAAAAACCTAACCATTGTAACTCTACAAAATTCCTCCAGTCATTAAATTTTACTTCAAATTTGCTTATGTTTTTAGTTGCTGTTTCCTATTTTAAGTTGTAAGAGATGAGACTATCATCAAAAGATTAGTGCTTAATTATTCTTCAATAATTTTCCTAAAATGGATTTATATAATTAACACATTTATTTATTTATAACATTTCATGCTTCCCACAAAAACATTCAAAATAATTTATTTTCTTCATTTGTATCTTAAGAAAAAACTCA